AGTCGGCAGGGGTCATCTCTCACTCTTTTTTTTTTTTTTTTTTTTTGCCGACGTTTTTTTTTTTTTTTTTGCCGACGACCTTTTCTTATTTATTGAAGCCTCAACCACTCAAATGGATATTATTTTGAAAGTTTGTTCAGAATTTGCTATGTCGTCGGGTCAGAAAATTAATATGGAAAAAAATTTATTATATTTTTCCAAGAATACTTCTGCTCAGCATGTTAGGATATTAGCTGTCGGTGTAACTTCAAAGTGACAGATGATTTAGGGAAGTATTTAGGAATTCCAATTACTTGTGGAAGATCCAAAGTTACTGCTTTTTCTTTCTTGGTGGAAAAAGTTCATGCTAAGCTCTCTAGCCGGAATGCGAGTCATCTGTCGCTCGCAGGTAGAATCACTCTTGTGAAAGCGATTTTTTTAGCTATCCCTACTCATGTGATTCAAACGGTTTCTATGCCTATCTCTATATGCCGTGAGATAGATACAAATCGTCACTGTCCTTCGTAGGTCAGAAATTTCATTAAAATTTATTAAAACTTAAATCAAATTATATCTACAATGAACATGATCAATTTAATTAGTCAATTTGAAGTGAACTCTAGGCATCTTACATAGGTATTTGATTTTTGATTGATTCGATTTCAATTTTTACACAAAATTCAATTGAAAACAAAGTTATTAAACATCAAAAGTAAACTGTGATGAAATAATAATTAAAAAATAATTATTAAAATATATACATTCATGGTGAGGGAGGGTTAAAATTCAATTATGTACACCCAATTTGCATTAGAATTTTTTACCATTTAATATATATATATTTATTATTAATTAATGTAAATTTTATTTACCAACGCGTTAAATTTAAGCTATTTGGAAGGCATTGGTTTTTTTTTTTTTCTGGCCTCCACTTTCGGTCGACTGTCCCCTTTATTTTATTAAGAATTTTGCTGTGCATACAAGATTTTCAAACGCAGATAACTAAAACAATATAGGTCTGATTTGGACAGCAATTTGAATCCATTGTTTGGTATTTGAGCTCTCAAATCTCAATCATTAGTTTAAGACATTTTTATTAAACTTAATATTTAAAGCATTATTTAAAACTTAAAAATTATTTAAAGATTAAAATTTCAATATTAAATTCTTAATTTTAACTCAATAATTACGTTACTTTTTTTGAGAAAATTAATTTTTCTTTATTAATGCTTTACTGGCTCTATTTAACATCTAAAATTAGTACTTATTTGGTACTACTCAATTCTTAAAAAAAAAAAAAAAAAAAAAAAAAAAAAACCTCAAAACTTTCTTAAAAAAAAAAAAAAAAAAAAAAAAAAACAGTGGAAATACTTACATACATCAAACGTAACGCTAAAAAAAAAAAAAAAAAAAAAAAAAAAACAGTGGAAATACTTACATACATCAAACGTACCTACCAAATAAATATAATAAAGGAATTTTTTTTGTAGAAATAGATATACACAGCGAGATATTTGGTTGTAGAAATTCAATTTTCTATATAAAATCACTTTCCTAATAAGTAAATTTCCAGAAAAGAAATTTCAGGAATATAGAATCTATATTCATGTTTAGGTGGGAATAAAATTCGTTTTAGGAAAATAAGGTAATTAAAAGCATTAATGTGATTTCGTTTTTATTGAAATTCAGCATTGAAACCACAAATATGACAAGTATTTTAGAAAAAATTATTTTCTCAAATGTGATAACCATTATGGAGAGGAGGTTGTAGGTGGAAAATTAGAAATAGAGGCTATTTATTCAAGATTTGAATTTCTTTGAAAATGCAACATTTCTATGTACTAATTAAATATTATTCCTTTTATACTAAAATATAAATCATTTAGTCCCTTTGTTCCAAAAAATAAGTCGCTTTTGGGTGATTATTTTCTCCAAAAATATAAGTCGCTTTAAATATTTTAAGGAATAATAAATGATGTTTTTTCCAATGATACCTTTATTTACATTAGATATAATAAATACTTTCACAAATAACTATTGGTCTTGATATAACGGTTAATTTAATCAAATTACCCTTAGTTTTGTTATAATATAAGTGAATTAATTGATTCCTTAATTCTTCTGCAAAAACCTTAAACGGCTTATATTTTGTGATAGAGAGAGTAAGATTTTTTACACAAATAATTAATTCTCCTAAATTATAACAAAACTGATAGTGTGATCAAATTACCCTTCACCTCAATGTCAAAAGTAATTTTATCTAATATAAATAAGGATAACATCAGAAAAAACACGATTCATTACTCTTTAAAATACTCAAAAAAAGACTTATAATTTATGATAAAATAATCACACAAAAACAATTTATATTTTGAGATATAGGAAATATAATTTTATTTTCTTATATAAAATTTGGATAACATTTCTTAGCAATCAAATGCTCTGGAGAGTAAGTAAAATTTTTTCAATGTGGAATATTATCCAAGATCCAAAACAAATAATGATTTTCAATAAATCTAGGATGGAGAATTGAAAAGCATTTACTTATATAATGAAAAAGTTATTGAAATATTAAAGAAAAAAATATATATATTTGACTCAAATGTTATGAAAATTCACAACTAGCACTTCACCGATATCCTTACGAAGAAATATAAAATACAAAATAAAATAAAAAATAAAAATAGTGGGGGGTCCATTAAATTCCCGCGTCAGATAAGAGTATATGCCCAATATGATTCGTCGTGTGAGCAACGAAATATGCGCCAAAAACACCGTTGCGCGTTCCAAGTTCTTTTTATCCGAAGCTGACACGTATTTTATTTTTTTATGATTATTTTTCTGAACGCCGTTTTAAATATATAACCGTCTGATATGATTCCTGCCCCACTTCCTTAACATCCAATGCCACCATTTTCTTGATGGGCATCATTGTCTTTTGACGATGTATAATTTATAATAATTGAAAAAACAATCTAAATGTGAAATTATTCTTACATTTTCTCCAAAAAATTAATTTGCATATTCTTTCCCGAAATAGACCCATTTTGAATTTATAAACATAATTAATATTATTAAATTATAATTTTTACTTAATTTTTTAATATCTCTTACAATTTTTTCCTAAAATAATGTATTTTAATCAGTTTCTTATTTTAAGTTTTAATTAATTTTATTTCAAGATTGAATAAATTCACTTATAATCTTTTATGTTATAATTAAAATTATTCAGATCTTAAATATTTATCATAATTAATTGCCAACCGAACAATGTTGAATATATTTTTATAATTAAGGAAAACCAAATAAATCACCAACAAATAAATTAATAACCAAAATATAAAACCTCTTAACCTTTTATTTTGCACTGGACCAAAATGCCATTAGTTACCAATTTAATTAAAATAATTTTTTGAGGAAAAATTTAATTAAAATATTAATTCACATAATAATGCTTTATTTAATTAATCAAACTCGGATTAATATTTAAATTTCACAAACTCAAACTTACGCAACAATCTTATATAATTTATAATATTACTGTGGTAATATAGGTTTTGTATATATATAAAAAATAATCATCTATATAACTATTGCCTCCTAAGTTTTTTTTTTTTTTTTTTTTTTTTTTTTTTTTTTTTGCATGCTATATAACTATTGCCTCCTAAGTTTTTTTTTTTTTTTTTTTTTTTTTTTTTTTTGTTCTCGAGTTGAATTTTTTTTCTTTCCTCCCTTAACTTATAGTTAATACAAGACTAATGAAGTTAACGCATGTTGTGACGTATTGATCTCTTGCTAAACGTGAGGAGTGAAAGATATCAAGTTTCAAAATTCTTTTTTTTTTTTTTTTTTTTTTTTTTTTTTTGTTCTCGAGTTGAATTTTTTTTTCTTCTCTTACTTATAGTTAAATACAAGACTATGAGTTAACCATGTGTGACGTTATTGATCTTCTTGCTAACGTGAGGAGTGAAAGATATCAAGTTCAAATTCTTTCAACTATAAAAATTTTTACTAATTTGATGAATAAATATTAATTTATTTTAGTAAAGAATTAAATATTTAATTAATAATTAAATAAGATTGAAATATTTATTTTTAGTACATTTTATCAGAAGTAACTATAATTTCAATTTTTTATTCCACTTTATTTATTACTCTAGAGAATTAAGAAAATATTAATTATTTTTTTCAAATTTATTTTTATCTCTCTGAGTATTAATTATTTAGAGAACTGAAAAGAGGTAATATAGTCGATTAAAACCTTTTTCATTTTTTACAAAATTGAGATAGTTTATTTATTGATTAATCTTTTTATGCAATCTAATTATTTCATTTTCCCTATTAAAAAAAATATGTATGTTTTAATGAAATGGAATGAGTTAATTTCTATTCTTAACAGTTTATAACTAATAATAATTTTTTTTTCCTCCTCTCTTATTTCAAACTAGCAGTATAGTTATGGTACACACATTTAATAAAAATATATATATTTATATGACTTTATGTTAATAAAATATGCGGAAAAAAAGGAATGAATAGCAAATAATGAAACCATAGATTTTAATGTGAGAGTGTGAATTAATAAATAAGTGCTGTGAAATATAAATTAAACTCATTATTACATATTAAAATATAGCCTGATGATAAATACATATATGACTGTGACTTATTCTTATAATTTATAGATTGTGGATAGAACTATCAAAATCGTAAATTTCACTCACCGCGTTGGCAGCTGTTGCTACTAAATCAAAACTCATATTTTATTTAATAAAGGAATTTAAATTTGTTGTCCTAAAACATCGTTTTCTTTCTTTTTTTCAATTTTTATACAATAGAATTTTTTTTGGCCAAAACTTAGTTTTAAAATGACAAAGTAACCCCTTCTTATTGCCATGGATCCAGCAAGCAATCCGTGATTCGTGTTATTGAATTAAGTGGCGCGTGCACTCTACTCCATCCTTTTTTTTTTTCAATTTCCGAATTTAACCCTTTCCCTTCTCTACCCCACTCTCTCAGTTCTTACCAGTCAGTCACCACCACCACTTTCCCTACCACTTCATCTCCTTTCCGCTGCTAAAAGGCCCTTCTCTGCTCTCTCTTTCTCTATGGCAACCATGGTAAGACCGCCGTCATTATTCCTCATTCTCATTTCCCTCTCATCCCTCTCTTTCCTCTGCGAATCAAGACTCTCTTACACCTATTACGACAAATCTTGCCCAAAATTTTCTCAAATCATTCAAGATACCATAACCAACAAGCAAATCACCAGTCCTACAACCGCCGCCGGAACTCTCCGTCTCTTCTTTCATGACTGCCTCCTCAATGGCTGCGACGGTTCCGTTCTCATCTCCTCTACTCCTTTCAACTCTGCCGAACGTGACGCCGACATTAACCTCTCCCTTCCCGGTGATGCCTTTGATCTAGTCACTCGTGCCAAAACTGCCCTTGAGCTTTCTTGCCCTAATACTGTTTCTTGCGCCGATATTCTAGCCGTAGCAACCCGTGATCTAGTCACAATGGTTGGTGGTCCTTACTATAGTGTTCTGTTAGGGAGAAAAGATTATCGCATCTCTAAATCTGCTTATGTAGAAGGCAATCTGCCAAAACCCACAATGCCGATGTCAAAAATTATCGATATTTTTGGTTCTAAAGGTTTTAGTGTTCAAGAAATGGTGGCGTTGAGTGGTGCACATACTATAGGTTTTTCTCATTGTAAGGAGTTCAGGAGTTTTGTGTATAATGACACAGATTACAATCCAAGATTTGCTCAGGGTCTTCAACAGGCTTGTGCAGATTCTTACAAGAATCCAACTTTATCAGTTTTTAATGATATAATGACACCAAACAAGTTTGATAATGTGTATTTTCAAAATTTGCCTAAAGGGTTAGGCCTATTAGAATCAGATCATGGATTGTATAATGATCCAAGAACCAAGCCTTTTGTGGAGCTTTATGCTAAAGATCAGAACAAGTTTTTCCAAGATTTTGGGAAAGCAATGGAGAAGCTCAGTGTTTATGGCATCAAGACTGGAAGGAGAGGTGAGATTAGGCACAGGTGTGATGCTATCAACTGAAAATTTTATGGGTTCGTTTTATTTTTATAATTTTTTTTTTTGTTGTTGTGATTTAGTTGAGAAATTAAAGGGATAATGGGTGATCGTGAATGAAGATTTTGGGTTTTATTTATGTATTAATTCTTTTGGTTAATTGTGAGGATCTGAAGTTGATATGTATACAATATTTGTCTGCACTGATCATGATATCAAACTTAAATTATACATGTTTTCTTTACTTTTTCTTCTTGGTTTCAATCTGTTTGTATTTTCCCAATGGGCTTCTGCTTGTTTTGATGGTTTTATTTAATTTAATTTGCTCATTGCTCAATTTTGAATGTTAAGTAATTGCCAGTTTTAATGCTTACAGTTGCATTTAGTATTTACAGGACCAACAATTGATTGTTGGTCTGCTTGAGACCTGGTGCAAAACCAGCAAGGGATTGCATTTACCTCCATTGCTGTTCTTTACTTCAATTACATATTTTTTATGAACAGGTTTTAATTTAATGGTATTATAGTAATTTCATTACCTAAAAAATGTAGAAATGAAGAAATTATGGTGATGGATTTAAGAATATAGTAATGAGGAAAGTGAAGGGGAAATATGCTTTAGAGTTTGACATTGGTGGTGTATTTTTCGAAGTCTTTGAGTTGAATTCTGTCTGTTCTTGTTTTATTTACTTTAATGGTGTCTCTTATTATTGCTTTACCACCAATTCTTTACTGTCAAAAAACCAGAATTGTGGTTTGAGATGGAGATCTGAAATTTGAGCAGAGAAATTTTGCACTGGAATTGCAGACATTACCAAACTACCGTCCACATCTACTTGGAACTCAGCCACGCATGTTCTAGTGCAGTAAAATTCTTAATGAAATTGACGTTTAGCGATGATTGGCATTGAGATGAAATTACTTTTTAAAAACTAATCATATTGATTATTTTGAACTATATTTCTATTCTTCCAAGATTAAAGCGCACTAGACTCTATTTTGGTGATCCAAAATTAGATAATCGAGATAGTATAACCGCTGTCCGGCTAAAAAAAATTACTCTCTCACTTAAGTGTTAAATGGGAAGAGGATGACAACTTTGGTAATATCAAAAAATTATGTGTCGGTTCCGACCAATTCAGGCCAAGACAATTGACATTCAAATAAGGCAGCTGAGAGTACTGGAGCCCAAGTGTTACTCCGGCAGCATGCATCCAAATCGAAGCCACTGTAGAAATCAGAATAGCTTTCAAATGATGACCCCATAAATGTAATAATCTCACTATCTCATTATTAACATATGCCCATATCGGTCAAAAGTAAAACCACTTGATGCAATTGTAGCCAACAGCTCAGCTTGCTAAACAGACCTACCATCCTTACATTTCTTGAATGATTTTAATAGTTTTGGAGCAAGCAGAAGAAACATCATCATTGTGTTCTTCTGTTCTGAGGAATTTTCTGAATGTTAATTTACTTCTTTATAAAAAAAAACTTTATTTTTGTTTTTGCCCAAATTTAAAATGTTGCCAAAGAAACTATACAATTATAGCAAATTTTAATGTTGATTGTAACAAGAGTTTTCAAATTGGAGAGCTAAAACAGTAACTCTACAGTTCAAATCTACGATCATCAGGGTGAAATTTAGTGGCCTCAACCACTGAATCAAGTTATCTCTAATAAATTATTTCTAATTATAAAATTCTACATAGAGAGGACAATAATGATTTAGGCAGATAAGCAAATAAATTATTAATTTTTTTGAGCTCATAAACTATGAGCATGGTGACACTTAGACAAATATATAGATGTTTGTTAAAAAACAAATTAGTTGAATTTACTCCCTTTACCATGATCCATTTGAAACATTACTCATGTGTTTGGAAAATTTTAATTTTTCATGTAACAACCATGCAAGTGTTCTTTAGGCTTGAAATTAGTATCATGCTATCTTGTGTGAGAGTAAAATATATTTTAAACTTTACATTTTCATTTATTTTTTAACCATAAAAATATCCACATTACACGAACTTTTCATGGGCAATTAAAAGTTTCGCCTGTATTACGTCGCCCTGCAGGAAATTAGAGTCAGAATGGAATTATCTTATTAGAGATGGAGCTAATAAAATTTTTTCGATTTATTTTTCATTTTAATATATTATTATAAAGTATAAATTTCTTTATTAACACAATAAATTATAAATTTTAAACATAATTTAGTAGTATTTTTATATTGTTAGCTAAAATCATAACATTTAAATGCTTAAATATGTAAAAGTCCTATTTTTTTAATAAAAATAATATATTATTGACGGTAGCGCGTTACAAAAATGCAAATATCTACTGTCCGCGCCCCGAACAATATCGGGGTCGGAGCAAGTCAAATCTGTTTCGGGTCAAATTGTCATTCATATTTTTCCGATTTCTACTTCAGTAGTAGCGGGCTAACCCAACTTTTTGAACATAGACGGCCCGATGTAAACAAAAGCTATCCGACCTGAACTTATGGGCCCGTGATTAAGAAGATGGATGAAAATGAAATGGAATGGCTAAAACCCTAGAAGGGGAATTAGGGTTTTTGCCATTCTGGCTTGTAAGTAGCAAAGTGAAGTAAGTGATACTCTTTCCCTTTCGCTAAAAATTCGACTTTCTGGAACAGTTTTCTTTCCTTCTAAAGTTTAATTCGAAGAAGGACCGCAGTTCTCCACCTATTTTCACCATGGACGTGGAATACCCAGGTTTTGCTTAATCAGTTACAGGTTTATGGTTTTTTTTGTTTTTTTTTCTTTGGGTGTTTTCGCGTAGTGTATTGATTTTTTTTTTTTTTTTTTTTTTTTTTTTTACATCTCCTTTTGTTGTTAACGTTCAGTTATAAGATTAGACAATGACAACAAAGCGAAGAAGAGGGGAGGAGGAAGAAGAGAAAGAAAGGAAGTACAAGGAAGCGGAAAACATCTCGAAATCTTCGGAAAAAATTAGCTTGGAGCATAGAATTCAGTTGCAGAAACTTAAAGAAAAGGTTTTTTTTTTTTTTTTTTTTTTTTTTTTTTTTTTTTTTTTTAAATCTTTGGTTTTTTTTTGTTTCAAAACTTTATTTTGTTTTGTTAGAAGGGATTGGGAAACATTTGAATGCCTATATTCTTCATTTTTGAGCTTATGAATAGCCATTTTAAAGTTTTCTTGTGGTCTGTAACTTATGCATTTCCGTTTTTGGTCCTTATGTGCCATGGAATAATCAGGAAATGAACTTGAAACTTAATTTTTTTTTTTTTTTTTTTTTTTTTTTTTTTTTTTTAATCTTTTGGTTTTTTTGTTTCAAAACTTTATTTTGTTTTGTTAGAAGGGATTGGGACATTTGAATGCTTATTCTCATTTTTGAGCTTATGAATAGCCATTTTAAAGTTTTTCTTGTGGTCTGTAACTTTGCATTTCCGTTTTGGTCCTTATGTTGCCATGAATAATCAGGAAATGTACTGAACTTAAAAGACCTTAGCTTGTCAGGTGCAAGTATTTATAGACTATAGATGGTTGAATTCTAAGATTTGGTGGTAGAACAGTCACTTGGATAATTTTTAGGTTTCATTTGGATAGGGAATTGAGAGGGATGGATTTGGATTGTTTTTCTCTTTTTAGGTTTAAAATTTTCTCCTTTGAGGCATATTTAACATCCATGCAGTTGTTTGATATGTAACTTCAAAACTGGGATTCTTTGCTTTGGATCCCTAATTCGGGAGTTATAAGGGAATTGCAGTTAATAGGCTGGTGTAGTGCAAACTATCATGGTTGAGTTGCTTTTTTATGTTGGAGGTTGGGTTTTGTCCATATTGATCACGAGGATATAAAGATTTTTATATTTACAACAACAATAACAACAACTAAGTTGTAATACCAAACTAGTTGGGTTGGCTATATGAATCTTCTGTTTTCACTTTACTCTGTTCATAACTAAGAGAAATTTAGATGAGAAAAATTTTTAATTTTAGATGATAAAAATTTTAAAGCATTAATAATAAACACATTTAAATATCAACTATCAAGAGGTTCTTAATGGTTATGATAATCAATGCGAAGTCACTTTATAACTGATCAATGTTTACATTCCTTGCTACTGTTCTGATTGTTATTAATGTTATTTTTTCTGAAAATTTTTTATACAGGACCCTGAATTCTATCAATATTTGCAAGAGCATGATGAGGAGGTTTTACAATTTGATGATGAGGAGATTGAGGTGAGCTCGGAATAGGTTCATAGCAGTGACAGATCCAGGAATTAAAGTTAGGGGGGCTAATAAAAATTTCAAGAGTTAAAGGGGAGCGAAATTGAAAATACTTACTATTTTAGTAGGTAAATTTAAAAAATTTTAATTTTTTATGGGTGATTTTTTTTAAAAAAAATTTGCTAGGGGGGGCCGGGGGGCCACCCCTAGACCCCCTAGCTCCGTCAATGGGTTCAGGTGTCAGAATCTTCCAGATCAGTGAACTAAATTATATTGCCAAGTTCATACTTTTTGCAATTTCTGCAGGAAGATGCTGATACTGAACTGGAGGCTGCAGATATGCAAGTGGATGAAGAAACAAGCGATCATGATATTACAGAAAAGGAAGATAAACCTTCTAAAAGTGCTATTACCACTGCTATGGTTGACTCTTGGTGTCAATCAGTTCGAGAAAATGGAAAAGTAGGTGCTGTCCGTTCTCTTATGAAAGCTTTCAGAATTGCATGCCACTATGGTGATGATGGTGGGGATGACTCTTCAATCAAGTTCACTGTCATGTCCAGCAGTGTCTTTAATAAGATAATGTCGTTTGTACTCGGTGAAATGGATGGAATTCTTCGTAAATTGTTGGGCCTACCTGCTTCTGGTGGTAAGAAAGAAACTATAAATAATTTGATGAGTACAAGAAAATGGAAGAACTACAGCCACCTGGTGAAGTCGTATCTTGGAAATGCCCTACATGTTCTGAACCAAATGACTGACACAGATATGATATCTTTTACATTAAGACGTCTCAAATATTCTGCTGTACTTTTGGGTGCTTTTCCAAATCTATTACGGAAGTACATGAAGGTACACAATCTGGATGTCATTTTCTTGGAGCTTAGAGTTTTTTATAGTTTTTTTCCATCGCATATGACTTCAACTTGTGAATATGATGCCATTTTGTTGGAGCTCCTGTCCTTAGTTGTTATAGTGGTGAACACGAAGGAGGCCGGAGACTGTTCATTCTCCGAATACTGGAAAAGTTTATACATGTATTTAATTTGTTGGAACTGAAATACCACTTCCTCCCTGCCAAACTTGATGCATGTATCCTTAAAGTATGTCCATCCTACAAAACTGGAGTAGTGCAGTTAGGATTTTGTTTGGAGCTTGTTGGTTAATAAGGTTTCATAGTTAGATGCTTTAAATTACTTCTTAAAAATGAATAATTTCAAAAAGTTTCTTTAGTGATTGGTTTTCTCAAGTTGCTAAGATGTCTTGTATGCTATTTACAAAATTGGGAGAGAAATGTATTATAAAGGTTTAAGTGATAGCAAAGTTAGTCACTAACAATCTATAAGCATGAATCAGAATTTGGCTTTATTCCTATAGGTGTATCATGTCATGCCTACTATTGCTTTGTCCTGCATTTAAGGTGCAAAACCCAATGTTTGAAATTAGATTTGGTTTTGACTATCTAGTCTCTATGTTATAAAACCATTTTATCATATATGTAGGTGTCCTTATGCGCTTACAAGATTATGGGTTTACTGACTCACGGTTTAAAGTGAACATGCCCTGTGCTTTTTGAGTTTCGATATTTAAGGGACAGGACTCCTGTTCATTTATAATTTGCTTTCACTGTCTTATTTCAGGTTGTCCTTCACTTTTGGGGTACAGGAGGAGGAGCCCTCCCTGTTGTATGTTTCCTTTTTCTGAGAGATTTATGCATTCGACTTGGATCTGACTGTTTAGATGAATGCTTCAAAGGGATATACAAAGCCTATGTTTTGAACTGTCAGTTTATAAATGCCTCAAAGTTGCAGCACATCCATTTTCTCGGGAATTGTGTCATAGAACTTCTTGGTGTAGATCTTCCAACTGCATATCAACATGCCTTTGTTTTCATCAGGCAACAGGCTATGATTTTGCGCGATGCAATTACTATGAAAACTAAGGTAGTATTTTTTTTAATGAAAGAATTGTATGCTTCTCGCTAATTATGCTATTTGTATATAGATTTGAATTAAAAACATCTGATTGATGTGACACTGCAGTAGGCCAGGTGTATCTCATTTTCTCTTCTAATTAAATATTTTTTATGGGAGAGCATGCTTGAATTGTTGCTTTATTTTTGCTGTTGCTGCCTTATGTTTTAGTTCTGGGCAATTGTACTATTTATCACTTTTTGTGCAGTTTCTCACCTTAGACGCACAATACCTCTCACTGTTCTGTAGGAATCATTTCGCAAAGTTTATGAATGGAAGTTCATAAATTGCCTTGAACTTTGGACTGGTGCTATCTGTGCTTACAGTTCAGAAGCTGATCTTAGGCCTCTTGCTTATCCATTGTCCCAAATAATTTCTGGAGTTGCCCGCCTAGTTCCAACTGCTCGTTATTTCCCCCTCAGATTGAGGTGTATTAGAATGCTGAACCGGATTGCTGCTTCTACTGGTACCTTTATACCTGTTTCTATACTTCTTTTGGATATGCTGGAGATGAAAGAGTTAAATAGGCGCCCTACTGGTGGTGTTGGGAAAGCTGTTGATTTACGTACCATATTAAAGGTATTTTATGCTCTTTATTATTTTCTTTAGGTTTAGGTCAAGTGGCTCGGAAAGGTCAAATTTCAGCGCTTCTGTCAATATTGGCCCCATTTATCAATTTTTTAAATTATCATATAACATTTTACTTTCATGTTATTGATAGAAATAAGGAGGATTTCCTTTGCTTCTTTACGTTCTAGCCAAAAACAAATCTTCCTTTGGATTGTTTTCTTCAGTTTACTGTTTCGCTTTATTGCTTATATAAATTTGGAGAAATGTTAATCCAGGTGAGCAAGCCTACCTTGAAGACGAGAGCATTTCAGGAGGCATGCGTATTTTCTGTGGTTGAAGAGCTTGCTGAACATTTAGCTCAATGGAGCTGTTCTGTTGCTTTCTTTGAACTGTCTTTTGTTCCAGTTGTGCGGTTGCGTAATTTTTGCAAAACTACTAAAATTGAAAGGTTCAGAAAAGAAATACGTCAGCTTATTTATCAGGTAAGTCCCTTTAAATAGTGATTAGTTGTAGTCTACTGGAGTGAGAATTTTCTCAGAAGTGTATCAGAGGAGAGTGATATTTCTTTTAGTCGACTTCTATAAATATTTGCACGGCGTACTAATGCTTTTCCTCTTGCCCAAGGTTGAGGCTAATTCTAAGTTCACGAATGAAAAGCGCATGTCCATAAGTTTTCTACCAAGTGATCCAGCAGCTACATCTTTTCTTGAGGTCTGAGAATCCATTCTTCCTTCCTTTTTTTGTGCTAAAATTTTCATCTACATATTTAGTTTGCTCTTGCGTAGTGGTAGAGTAGATGTCTTTTTTAACCTTCCAATCAGTGGCCTCTTATTTGTGCTCTTGTTTTCTGAACACTTTTAACATTTGACTGCATCAATAAGCCCAAAGCTAGTCTATTGCAGCTTTATGAAGTATGAACAATATTGTAGAGATGAAATCCTCTTTCATAGTGCAGAAGAAATGGATGGGGGTTGTTATTGTGGATTCTTTTATGTTTTTATTATGTGATTTTCTTACTTTGTTGGTTAACATCTTACTGATGTTGGCTGTAATGTTTCTGGTAATGATAAATGCCAAGTTTACTGCAACACGGGTTCATTCATGATACAGAATGCAACTGATAAAGTTTTCTAAGCAGAAAATGATCTTTATATGTGTTCTTTTTATGTACCTTTGGCTAATTCAATGTGCTGATAAATGAGTCCTGTATTTTGTCACAGGATGAGAAAAAGTCAGGGGCCAGCCCTCTGTTACAGTATGTTGAAACTCTACGGAAGAGGGCACAACAGCAAAAAGATTCATTGGAGGAATCCAGGTTTATTATCCATTTATTTTTTTAATCATTTGTTATAGTAATCCTTTTCTGCTGTCAGAAGGCCAATATGTAAGTCATAGCTTGTAATTTTCAGCGTTCTTGTGGGTGAAAAATCATCTTTCTTTGCCAAGAAAGTGTCGGAAATCAATGAAGATGATGATAGTGAGACTGAGAAAAGTGCTGCCGTCTTTAGTTCCTCCTGGTTACCGGGAGGTGATTCCAGGTTCATTTCCTCTCTTTTTCATCTCCACTTGCATGCCTAGATACATTCATCATAATATTGGCTCTCTCTTGCTTCCCACCCCACAAGAGTATATGCATCCAGAGTTTATCTGTGATGGTTTGTATTTTCAATAAGTAGGGTAATATGTGCATGTGAGCCTTAGCATATAATTGCAAGATTGCTCCTTTTTGATAGGAAGATCGTGGTTCTAACTGGGGGAAATAACCTGTTTGCGAAAAAGCAAGAGAAATAACGAGTACGATAAATTATCCTTGTACAATTTAACTTTACTGACTTCAGCTCTTTGGTTTATAGGACGAAGCCCTCAAAGGAGAAAAAGAAAACAAAGAAGAGAAAGGCAGAGCAGCAAGACGCAGAGGAAGATGTTGTGGAGGATCTGATTCTTAGTTCTGATGAAGATGGATCTGTCAGTGACCCGCTTTCTTCTTCTGACAACGATGAAGATGAGAAATCATTGCCTCCTAAACTGCAGAGTCAGAAGCAGAAACCTTCTGAGAAATTATCGAAGAAGAGATCTCGGCCAAGGAAAAAGAGGAAGTCTTCTGATAGTAAAGTTGATAAAGCAAAATCTGTGCCTCCTGAACAGCAACACATGAAGTCGAGACCTTCTGGAATTTTGTCAAAGAAAAATGTGCGATCTCAGAAGAGGAAGAGGAAACAGAACTGAACTGGCTGATGCATAAGCAAAAGAAGTTCCAACAGCGAGAAAAGTAATTGATGGAAAATTGTATTACACTCACATTTCCAATATGATTTTGTTTGGAATATATAAGAGAAAGAAAAAAGCATAAATTATTTTGTCTACAAATTTCTGATGTGCTCAAAGTCAAAGCTCAATTCTTAGGAAAAGAAGCATTATAGTTGAATTTTGTGTTCAAGTTGCATTGTGACCAACACTTGAATGGCCTGATACATTCAAGAACTTCTATTTTTGGAATTTATTTTATTTTATTTTTGTATGATACGAATCAAATTCTTTCAATGAGGAAAAGTCTTCATCTAAGCTGTATAAACGGCTCAGCCAATTTGGTTTGGTTTCGATTTGGAAAATAAATTTGGATTTATTCGGTGATATATATAGATCATGGTTCGATTAAAAATTGAAGTGAATTAAATCATAAAATAAATATTATTTGTAGGTGATTTTCAATGTAAATCAGTCAATTTGATAAATTTGCAATTAATATAAAAATTTAAATTAAAAATAATTGGATTCAATTTAAAGTTTCACAGAAATTGACTGAATCAACTAAATCTTTCATGATTATCAATTTTCAATTTACATTATAATGTGGTGAATAAAATTTTATTAATATTAACATTTTTTTTTTTTTTTTGAAAGAGAAGTAGACCAAGAGATAATTAGATCATTGAAAATGTACTGTATTTTTATATGTACAAATCCAAAGAGAGAAAGCCAAAATCAAATAAAGCTTTTACTGAACAAAAATTAAATAAAAAATCTTATTTAACAATTTTCTATTATTTTTTGAATGCATCTTATAATGCTTCATTATTTACACCTTTTTTATTGCCCCAGAATTAGGAATTAGGCAAATGGAAACAAAAAAAAAAAAAAGAAAAGTATGATAATGCCAAACCAAAAAAATGCCTCCCACATTAACAAACCCCGAAAAAGAAGCATAAACAAAACAAATAATCAACCTATGCTCCACTTATAACTCGGACGATTCTATACTTGACTCGTTTCCGCCACCGAGTTGACTCCGACTTCTTGCTATTGACCCCGAGTCCAGCAACAATTCCTCCCAATCCACCTCTTCCTCCCCCTCTTCCTCCACTTTCCCTTTCATTTTCTCCAACATTCGCTTTGCCTTTTCTCTCGTTTGCTCCCTCCCCGACTTCTCCAACTGCAGCAACACCTCCATTGCCCCGGCGGTCTTAGCCAACCCTTTGAACCTCAAACCACCGTGACTCAGTGCATACAACACGGACACACAACTCTCTCGAGTTGACTCAGATTCCAACCCGCTCCCTTTCAACAAACCCACCAAACAATCCACCCCACCCGAATCCAACATAGCGGCTCGCCCGTCTACACACGATGCCAAATTACACAGTATTAGCAAAATCCGACTCCTCATATGACCCGACTTGACCAAACCCAAAAGAATTGGTACTGCCCCGAGTTTGACTAGCTTACTCCGATTACTTTGAACGAGTGAAAGATGATATAAAGCTAAAGCCGAGTCATGCCGAGTCCACTCACTTTCGGATCGAAGTAAGTGCAATAGTGGAGGCAAAGCGCCTAAAACACCAATTGCAGTCTTATTATGATCATCGAGAGCTAAACTAAAGATCACACCACAAGCATGTTCCTGCGCCTCAGGGAATCCGCCCTTTAATACATCAATCAACAGAGGAACAATTCCTGACCGTACGATCTTAACTTTGTTTACTTTCTGTAAAGACAAATTAACTAAACATGCAACCGAGTTCACTTGAATGTTAATGTACCTTGAATTGATTAAAGATCGGACGGCTGAGAGTAATCTTGGAGTACACAGCTCGATTCTAGAATGTTCGTTTGTTCTGGTAATCTTTCTCAATGAAATTAATGCTTCTTCAATCTCAAATACTTGTGAGCTTTTTAACTTTTTAAAAATCTCTTCTTCTTCATGGTTAGGGTTAGGGTTTAAGGCTTCAGTCTCTGATGAAGAAGAAGCAGAAGAGTAACAACTTGGCCGAGTCGTGAATTGCAATGGAGGCGTGGACACCGCGGTTTCCACCGATTCCTCTGAACTCGACGAGAAATTCGTTCGCCGACTGTGAGTCAGTTCAGTGACGGCGTGATTGAAATTCACTGGAGGAATCTCTTTAACCCTGCAAATCAAATCTTTATCCTCCATTTTTGCACGGACAAGCTTCTCTGCAGAGAAGAAATCAAGGGGTTTTGGTGGGTTTATTGAGTGGTCATTACACCAATTTAGAATTGCAGATTTGAGTGCTAAATTGGGAATAACAGTAGAAAAATTAGGTACTGTACCATCCACTAAAGTAGGAGTAAAAGAAAGAGTATTACAGGCTTGGACAAAAACACGATCAAAAGTATGGCCAGAGGAGACAATAACAGGGTCATTCATCAAAGAACCGGAGATTGGACAGAGGAACTCTTTCGGCACCGGAACTTCTTGTTTCGGGTGTTGTTTCTTTGAGGAAGATGATCTGCGAAAGGAAGCCACTCTCCATTTCTGCTTCTCTGTTTCTTTCTGTGAGTCATCAATGACAAGTCGTTTCTCTACAGGATGCTTATGTATAACTAGTCTCATAAGTGCTTCTTGAAACTCCATAGCTTTTGGGTATTTTCCTTTTTACTCAATTATGTTTGTAGATAGAAACAAAATAAAAGAGAAGTTGAGAATCCATAGCAAGCTTGAAATAGAAGTTTTTTAGATTTAAAAGGGAAAAACGGGAAAGAAGCTGAAATGGTGGCGTTTAGATGAGTAGTGAAGACTAAGTCAAGAAGGAGAGTAGTTAAGGTTTGGATGATGAAACCTGTGGTAGTATGAGATATGATTCCGTTGCTTTCGGAGGAGAATAAGACCAAAAGAAGAAGAGGTGCAGACGAGTAGTGCAATAGTGACAGTGGTGGTGATGCTTAAGCTCAAGCAAGTGAACCTCATTTTTTTTTTTTTTTTTTTGGATGATTGAAACCTGTGGTGTATTGAGATATGATTTCCGTTTGCCTTTCGGAGGAGAATAAAGACCAAAAAAGAGAAGAGGTGCAGCACGAGTAGATGGCATAGTGGACAGTGGTGGGATGCTTTAAGCTCAAGCAAGTTGAACCTCATTTTTTTTTTTTTTTTTTTTTATATTAGAACTTATTTTTTTTTTTTTTTTTGATATTTCTGTAATCATTAATATAATTTTTTTTATGAAAATTAATAATATTATTATAATTTTTAATTACGTTACATTTTATTACGACTTATTAATGTGAAATTAAAATTTTTATTTAATTATGTTTTAATTATTTATGTTAAATTTCCAAAGATGTACTTGAGGTATAATGTAATCGAAGGACTCATATTTTATATGAGGGATGTTAGTCATTACTTGTGAAGATAACTGTTTTGGAAATAATTAATATATATTTTAATTAATAAAAGTAAGAGTTTTGAATAATTATTTAAAAGAACTACAGTTGGCATATATATATAATTTTCAAATCATGTTAATAAATTTTAAAAAAGAAATAAATGGAAAAGGGTTATCTTGGATTATAAAGCCCAAGGTCCATCCAATGGTCCTCTTCGTAAAGTTAAAAATCGCAGCCTCATAGCCTCAGATCTTCGTCAAATATTTGTATTATGAATTTAAATAATATAAAAGCAATATACAAAAAATATTATAGATGAAGTAGCAGAGGATTCCATACTCTGTCAATGCAAACAGAAGATGGTATGCATGCAATTATTGATGCTGTTTAAAGTTAATTGCCATTATCAACTTTTAAATTCCGATTGCACTTTGCTTCAACTCCTAAAATTTTATTCCGTGACTCAACAGAAATTTTCCGGCAATTTGATGACGTGGCAGTTCCTTCACCGTTGATGTAATAAAGAGCACCCTGACAATCCCTCGTGCTACATTCTTTTTAATTGCAAAGAAAATAAAAAAGGTTAAGAAAAAGACATCTGTCGCTTTCACTTTATCTCAAAATAAAGTTGTTTTTTCTTTTTTTTTTTTTTTTTTTTTTTAAATTTATTTTTTTAAATAAGCAAATTGCTCTGACTTTTTTGCATGTTTAGAACCAATCACGCTTCACATATAACATCATTAGCTAGCTAATGCTATATAATTATGAAATAATTGCATACTTAATTGCTAAGCATTTGCTAAGCTTTTTATTTTAATATTGTGTGTATTATATTAAATTTAATTAAAGATACTATATAAATGATTTATCTGAAATTTGTGTAATAATTTGATTAGCTTTTACAGTTAATTCACAACAATTTTCATTTCTTTGATAAAAATTACTAAAAGAAAATCACCATTTTGTTTTGTAGTGTATAATATAATATATACATATACTTACTCACTATATCATATTACTACCTACATAATAATATATTGAATTAAAAATAGTCTAATTTTAAGATTATTTCTGTCTTTAGTTTGTTGAAAAATTTCCTAAAAGGGAACAGAAGCCAACAATAACGATCAAATTTGTTATTTTTTTATATAGTTAGGGAAAGGAGATCACATGTCTTCAACCCTGCAACAAAGATGACCGCACAGATCTTTTATTCGAATCGCCGTAGTTTGAAATCTTAAATATTGACGCGTTGCCTAGGAGTTTTTATTTTGAACGATTGATTTCTCCGAGTTTGATGATCAGTCATCTCTGACAATAAAAGGGAGTTACTAAAATCGAATCTTATTTTATCGCTTCCACCAATACTATGATCTAAGAGCTTTACTTCTCTGTTAACGGTGGCATAATACAAATGTTAAACCGATTTTGTCGTTTTAAAAAAAACTTTTCAAAGTTCATACATTAAGGTTCAATAGTGAGGACATATATAAATTCCATCGCCGCAATTTAATACATTTTAAATCTTTATGGCAATCGTAACTTTTTATAAAATATATATATTGATAAAAATATCTAATTTTAAGATTTATTTTCTGTTTTAGTATTGTTGAAAATTCCTAAAAGGAAAGAAAGCAACAATAACTATAAATTTGTATTTTTTATAGTTAGGGAAAGGAGAACTAGTCTTCAACCTGCAACAAAGAGTGGAGGATTTTTATTCAATCGCGTAGTTTGAAATCTTAAAATATGACGTTCCTAGAGTTTTTTATTTGAAAGATTGATTTCTCCGAGTTTGATTGATCAGTCATTCTGAAATAAAAGGAGCTTATAAAATCAATCTTATTTTATCGCTCCAAATATGTCAAGAGTTACGTTGGTGGTATATAAATGTAAACCGTTGGTTAAAAAACTTTCAAAGTTCATACATTAAGGTTCAATAGGAGGAATATATAAATTTCCTCCCGAATTTAATAATTTTAATCTTATGGCATCGTAAACTTTATAAATGACATATTATGTATTTAAATTTATAAATTTGATAACTTTTTACACGTTTCCACACTAACAACAATTGTCTTTAACATTTGGTTTTTATATGTAAAATATTGATTTGATATGTAGTTAGCATAACTTTTGAAATAATAATTTATATATTTTTTAACTATTTAATGAATGTTTAGTTAATCTAATTTTGCATGTTGAAGTGTTCAATAAAATGATTTTACAAGTTGAAGTATTTAATGGGTGTAATTTTATAAGTTGAAGTATTTGATGGGTCTAAGTAAAGGTTGAGAGTATCATAAAATTAAAGTAATAAATTTGAGAGGTGAATTTATGCATTCAGTCAAATTCAATTTAAGGCTTATGTTCAAACAAGGAAAACAAAAAATTTCTAAAAGGAAAGGTAGCAGCTATAATTTTAAAGGCTAATTATTAAAAAAGTTTCATACTTTGCAGGTAGTTTTAATTGTATGCTAAATTTAACTTTCTTCTCCTAGTATTCTTAACTTTAACTTTAGTTACAATAACACTCTAATTTTAAATTGTACCCAGCTGGACAGGTTTAGTGTTTAAGTTGTAGGTTAACGAGGTTCAATTGGTAATTAACCCTTTTTGCCACGTTGGACAACTTACATGGATTAATAGTCAGGCCACGTGAATAAATATGGACTTCATTTTATCCTATTAAACAATCCGACTGTCCACTTCAATAAAGATATCAAATTGAAAAAATTGTAAATACAGATACTTAATAGTCACTATTTCCCGTTTAGACGTCAAAATAGAAAAAGCGCAATTCAAAATAGAAAAAGGACAATTTCCGAGTCACTAAAAATACCATTATCTCTTCAATTAATAAGATGAATAATAAATTCAATTATTGATAAAGTAATCGTTGAGGTTAATTTGAAGTTCATTGATTCATATTTTATAATTAATAATTGAGGTTTAAATAAAGCACATTAACTGATATTTATTTATATATTTATGACGTTGGTATGAACTTTTAGAGTGGTCTAGGCTGGATCATATCTCCATTTTCTTTACTCTTTATAAAAAGTAATTTATTTTATTAATGACCCACATATCTAAAACCACACGGCTTTTGCTTTAAGCAGTTTCAGTTATCAGATAGTTAATCTCTGATTAGTTGTTTATTAATATATATTTAAATTAATTAAAAAAAAATAGGTGACCCAAATTGGACCCATTGAAGAGAAAGTTGTATATTTTCTTCCCTCTGATTTCTTCTTTTAGCAAAGTTAGTCAAAAAAGAAAAGAACATACTAAGCATATTTAGCTTCTCTCTTATTCTTTCTCTTTGCCCTCATGAATCTTTACAAGTTGAAGTGCTGAATTTTACTTGTTCACTAGCAATAAGAATTTATTTCAGTTGATAAAAAATAAGTTGAAGTGCTCAAGAGGCTAGTTCTTCCTATTTCGCAATTCTGGTCATACAAAGATGATGACATTTCGGAAAGGGAAAAATGAAGTAAAAACAATTTTGTTTATTATGGAGTTCAATTTAATGAACTTCTTCCTAGTTTGAGATATGCGTTGCGTGCTCGGCAACATCTTTTTAAGTAACTTTTAGCGTTTTTACTAAACACTTGAACACTATTTTTATTATAGTGTTTAGTAAATATTAATTTTTAGAGATTAAGGTAGCGTTTTACAAAAGGTTAATCCTTGTAACATTTAGTTTTTAACATTTTATGAAAAATTACTTAAACAGTTACTAGCTAGTCAATGCTACTAAAAAAGTTAAAACCTATCAAAACAACTAATTTGCGAAATAGACCCTTAAATGGCGATCAAATCTTACAATTTGTTTTCTCTTTCTCCTCTCCATATCTCAAAACTATAAGAAATATTTTATGGATTACACTAATTGTATACCATGAAAGAAGGGGGAAAAAGAAAACTAATTTTTTATTGACAAATAAATTTTTTATTTTACTGATTAATAGAGTCCAGAAACAAATTTAATATTACCGAGGACTAAACCGAACTGAAAATCCAGAAAAAAAGAACAATAATAAAATACATTATAGTTAGAAATCCAATCCTATGCTATTTACAGATGACACCCACATAAATCTTGTACATACACAACCCAATGTGTGAGATTCTGAAGGACCACATTAAATTAACAATCTTTAACTTGTAATAATATAATTTAGAATTAAGATTTGTGTAAGAGCGTTTTGTATAGAACAAACAAAACCATGGTGATTGGAAGCTCAAAATGTGCTCTATCTTACACATGTGAACTTGTGGGGTCTGTCTTCAACTCAGTGGAAGAGGGAATTGGATTCCTCCAGAGAAATTCTGTTATGCAAAATAGGATTACAGGTAGCTTAGCTCACACAAATATTTTTGGATACTGTTGCCCTTTCTTTTATATAAAGAATTCTAATATTCAAACTGTAAAATAGTATATACAGTATGGAAATATCAACATAAGAGACATGCTGTTCTCTTGATATATCTTATTACAAATTTGAGGAGGACAAACATATAGCTTTAAAAAGCAATGAAATCCCATTTGCTTAGATACTTAGCGATCAAATTAATGAAAAAATAATTTTTTATTAAAGCGAGGAATTCTGATTATTTATTGGAAAATAAAAAAAAATAAAGTGGAGACTCTCTATTTTAATTAGTTTCGTATATAGATTAGTCTGTAAACTAGGCACAAGTCTAGTTCTCTTGTTCAATTTTCAATTTGCTTTTTGAACTTATAATTTATTAAGTGGGTCACAAGCCATTATAGAGGGCTTTTTCATATTGTTTGAGTATGAGTTAGTGGGCAAATTAACCTGAAATTGTAAATTCATGGAATAAATTGAAACAAAAAGTTGATTTTAGGCTTTCTTTTTTCCCTTAAATTAGAAGTTACAGGTCACATTTAGCTTTATTTCCTTTCAAAATTCTAACTTTACCCTTTGTTTGAATGTGCGTATTTTTTTTTTTTAAGGAAGGAAAATAACTTTAAATATCCAGGGAAAGGTATTTTCTCTTGTTTGGGAAAGAGGAGGAAAATATTAGAGGAATTAATATTTCACTTATTTTCTACTCAGACCCACGTGTATTGAACCTTTCTAATTTAGAGAGAAAATAATGGAGAAAAGTAGAAATTTCTCTCATTTTTATTAAATTATCTAAACACCCTAAATTAATTAACAAAATTATCAATTTTCAATAATAACATTTATTTTTTCTTAAAATTTTTTCTTTTTCAGATAAAGAAAAATAAATTAATTTTATTTCCTTCGTTATATCCAAACACAAGTGTGGAAAATAAATATAGAAAGGAAATTGATAATTCCTCATTATTTTCCTCTATTATTTTCCTACCTTAAATATTTTTCTTGCTCTCCTTTCCAAGCAAAGGGTTAGGGTTTGAATTGATTTTTTTTAAGGCAATACCCTATAACGGTGGGTTTAGCCCCTGATTAGCAAGTGTATCACTGAATAATTAATTAATTAATTAATTTCTCAAGAAAATTAATTAAATCTAAAACTCTTCAGGGACTCTTGTAAAAAGATCAATCAGATCCAAAAGTCAAAATTAATGATTATAAGAAGAGAACTAAAGACAAAACATTGTCTCTATACCCAACACTTATTAAAGCCTCTTGAACTCAGCAAGAACAGGATATATATTGTCAAACGCAGAATACGTATCCTCCCTCGTCTTAGCTCCTGTAATCACAACTTTTCCCGAAACAAAAATAAGCATTACAATCTTCGGCTGTTTCATGCGATATATAAGTCCCGGAAACAGCTCTGGTTCATAGCTTGAAAACACGCCATGTGCGCTGCAAACAAACCTTTCAAGTCTGATGGGGAATTTCACGTCGCAAGAAGCAACGATATTTTGAATCCTGAAATCTTTGAATTTTGGAGTAAACCCTAATTTTTGAACAATTCTTGCGTACTTTCTTGCTGCAAGTTTAGACTGTTCTTCAGTTTTCGCGCCAGTACAGACCACCTTGCCGGAGGAGAAAATCAAGGCGGTGGTTTTAGGATATCTGATTCGCATAACCACGGCGGAGAAACGTTTAGGGTTATATTCGGAGTTTCTTGCATGAAGGGCTAGGTGTTTTAGGTCAACTTTACAGTCTAAATTGACTGTTGATACTATATTTTGTAGAATTGGAACGATAGCGGAAGAGCTTTTCTTGGAATTTTCCATCTTTCTTGTTCTTGTTCTCGTTCTGAAGTTGTAATTTCTTCGTTTGATCAGTAATTTCGTTGTTTTTACTGTGGGTTTTTGTTTAACAAGTGTAAGACTTTGATTCTTAGCTCTTACATATAAATATATATAGAGGTAGAGTAAAATCCATATCCTATTAGGATATAGATTTTGTAGGGTTTTGATTTGTTTGTTAATTAAAAATTCCGGATTTGGTTAGTTAATAATATTTTATTATTAAGAAAATAACAATAAATATATGTTTTTTTAATAGTGGTGATGGGACAGATAATAATTAATTAATTAAGGTCAATAAAAAAAATATATAAATTAACCATTAAATTTTTTCTGGTATAATTTATTGCATACCTACACTTTTACAATCTTGGACATTCCTAAATATTTGTTTTCAATAAGTTCAAATCAATTTCTTTTTAATTGATATGCAAACATGAAAGAATTTTGGTAATTTTAAAATATACGAAGAGAAAAATGAAACTTATTATACTAAAGTGAAAAATACCCGAAATATCAATAATATTTTATATTTTAATTTAAATAAATTTACAATTTTATTATTTAAATGAACATAAAAATTTTATTTTTTATTATCGTCCAATGACATGTCTTTTTAAATAAAAATTAACTAAATAATTTCTGAAAAATAGTAATTCTTTTACTCTAGTAGCAATGAGATATGACGTGGTACGAGTTCATGATGGGCCAAGGCTTAGGCCCAAGGAATATCCAGGACCTGGACATGTACGTGTGTATATGCACACGTCAGATGTCAAAGATAGAAACCGTCCACGCGCCACCGACCCGGAGGACCAGAACCATCCATCTAAAACAAAATCCGATTATAAAACAGAAAGAAAACAAAAAACTTAACACGGAAGTCAGGAGGAAGAGGGGGGCTGGTCTTTCTTGGATTAGGCTCCAAGCCACCTCTTAATATAAATACAATAAGCCTCCATCTTCTTCCTCTTCATTCAAATTCTTGAATTATCAAATCCAAACATTTCAAAAACAATCCTTAAAAGAAACAAGAGATATATAAATATGGGTTCAGAAGGAGGAACAGAAGCTTTTCCTGATCTTGGTAGACATTGCCAACATTCAGAATGCAATCAACTTGATTTTCTCCCTTTCAGGTGCCACGGTTGTCAAAAGGTAATATTTTTTATTTATATAATTTATAAATCCTTATAATTTGTTAATAATATATATTTGGTGTAGGTTTTCTGTTTAGAGCATAGAGCCTACAAGTCTCATGATTGTCCAAAATCAAACCACAACAGCAGAAAAGTTGTAGTCTGTGATGTTTGTTCAACTTCCATTGAAACGACAGGGCAAAATGGAGAAGATGAGAAGTTGATATTGGAAAAACATGTAAAATCCGGAGATTGTGATCCCTTAAAGAAGAAGAAACCTACTTGCTCTGTTAGACGTTGTAAGGAGATTTTGACATTCTCTAATACTTGCATCTGCAAAAGTTGCCATTTGAAGGTTTGTTTGAAGCACCGGTTTCCAGCTGACCATGCATGCAAGAAGTTGCAGCAGGGAGGTTCATCGTCCACGCAGGCTGTCGCCAGTAGTGGACGGTCGAATGACAAGTTTCTGGCTGCTTTTGCTTCTAGGAATGAGAAAGATTGTGCTAAAAATGCTCAATCTAATTCATCAAAAGCTAAAAATAGTATCTTTTCCGTGAAAATATTTTAGGGTTCATAATAATTCCCATGTAAATTTGACATTGTTTCATTTGAGTGGGATGTTTGGAATTGCTTGCAAGAATTTTATTGCTTTGTATCCCTATTTTAGAATTTCGTTCAATTAAAGATAATTTGAAATTGATCAAGAATTTACAGTTCCATATATGTCTAAAACACAAATAAAATGTCACAATATTGCAAATATATGCTATAGATAGACAAATCTAAAATACTTGAAAAGGCTAACATAAATGGTCAATGGGATGCTCTACAAGAGAAGGGATCTTCAATCCCTAACAGCAGTATACATTTCAGCGTTGACAATCTCATCCTATTCAATTTACTAACAACTCCAATCATAATCTACTTTCAGAATCATATACATTCTTCATAAACAAACCAATTACAGAGTTCCATGCCAACTTCCAAAAGAAACACGTCTCATCACTCACCTAGATTAAATGTAGCCGGGAATCTCTCCCCAAAGAGCAGCCATCCAGTGTTGCAGTCATGACGTTCGCCGTTTCAGGAGGGCCAAAAGAGCAAGGAGAATCTTCTTTCTTGGTCCCTGCCAATTTACGTCAGTCTCGGTAAGACAGAGAAACAGAGAAGAAAGATACATATAATAGAATGGATATCAATGTGCAATGCAGATGACAATGAAAAATGGAAAGCAACAGGCATGAAAACCACAATTACTTGTCCTTCTCTTTATGAATAGAATTTATTTTCCTTTCTTATTCTTGTCAAAATAAACAGAAAGAGATTCTCATGTCTGTTTTTTTGTTGCCCAATCAATTTAATATGATATATGGTAACAAGTTGGGATAATAGGTCTTATAAAAGCTACAGTATTCTATAAAGGAAGTTAAAGCAAATACCATAGGTATCCCCATTTCTTTGAGATCTTTATCCCCCATTTGCGTCAATACAGTCATATCTACCTATAAAACAAATAAATCAAGAATGAAACAAGTTAATATTTCAATGAAAGAAGCTGGAGACCAAATACAAAAACACAAAAAGATGCCACAAAATTGCTCAAGTCGACAGAAACTGCTTCACCAGGGAAAAAATAAATCAGAAAAGGTATTACAGTTCACAAGAAGCAACATGCATTACAACATCATCAAAGCATCTAATCAACATTAGTTGAATTACAGCTACTGCTGCTCCAGCTGCTTCAAAATAAGTAGAAATGCAGAATACCTAAAAAGAAATACATTTATGTCATGGATTCCCAGACTCCATGTTGAAACTTTGCTTTAGTGTCATACCTCCTGCAAACCGATCAACAGATTCAACACTACATTCATCTCTGAAACTCTCACCTTTGGGAGTCCACAATAATTAAAAGTAAAACTCTCTCTTTCTGCCAATCACACAATTCTAACTTACAGTTCAGAGAATTTAAAGTTGCTGCTCCCTGTGGACAATTTATCATGGCAATTTTTTCAAGTTTTTCTGCTTCAAAAGCTTAGAACTCTATAAGAACTTAAATCAAAAAATCTAATAATTTATTTCACCATACAATTAAAATAAATTTAAAGTGGCCATAACTCGCTGGTCACTTCAAACATCACTAAACATCAGTGAAATGGCTAACTCACTTCTTCCGCCTGAAAATTGACCACATATTTCCCCAAACCAAGAGAATGCAGGAAGCCAGATACAGTTTGAGGTTCCTCGCCCTATTAAGACAAAAAAAAAAAAAAAAAAAAAAAAAAAAAAAAAAAAAAAAAAAAATCTAATATTTATTTCACCGATACAATTAAAATAATTTAAAAAGTGCCATAACTCGTGCTGGTCCTTCAAACAGTCACTAAAACATCAGTGAAATGGCCTAACCACCTTCTTCGCCTGAAAAGACCACATATTTCCCCAAACCAGAGAATGCAGGAAGCAGTACAGTGTGAGGTTTCCTCGCCTATTAAGACAAAATAAAAAAAAAAAAAAAAAAAAAAAAAAAAAAAAAAAAAAAGAAAAAAAAAAAAAAAAAAAAAAAAAAAAAAAAAAAAAAAAAGAAGAAGCACAATGAGAGGATGGATGTTGATGCCTTAAGGTAAACTGAACAAAAAGTAAGAACGTATGAGAGCAAAATTAGAACACAAGCCCCGTAAGTAGTACCATATGTGACACAGTTTGCATGATGCCTCTTGTTGGTGCCATTCGTGTTCCTACATTCCCAGTTTGAGAGGCAGCTTTTATTAATAAAGGTTGGGAGCTGGCCAATCTAGAAGAATCAAGAATTTCATCACTCAAAACCCGCCGACCTCTTGAATCATCAGCAATCCTCACAGGCATAACTTTCCTCATTTCATCAAAATTTCTTGGTGGTGATGACCTGTTGTAACTGTTTAAAATCCGATCAGAAGATCTAGTTCTTGATCCTCCCATTGGATGATATGAGTAATATTTTCCTAGTGAGTCCACTTGATGCAAATCATCTGCAATTTCTCTATGATGAATTTGCCGCAAAAAGTTACTTCCACTGGGTTCAGACCCATCTGGCAGCATGTAAGAACTCACAGAACTCATAGGAGGGTGAATGACCTTCACCAGCTTTTTGTGTGGGTCAGTTTCCTTTTTCTCTTTCTGAATTTTCTTAGATAGCCTTTTTCGCATCAGTTTCAGTCGGAGATCATTTTTAGCAATTCGGGATCCTTCACTTGTGTAAATGCACCAGTTTTAATGAACACAGATAACAATAATAACAATAAAAGGAATTCAAAATATGCAGAATGTAACCTGTTACCATTAACTCCATTTAGGACAATACCCTGCTTCATTCCATCTCCTCGATTCCTGTCCACATAATAATCAACAAATGACATTTTTCACAAAAGACAACAAACTATAACCTATTAGAGTGCCATGGAAAAGAAGAAGAAATGAAGTGGTAACTATTTTCAAATTCAATCAAAGAAATCATATAGAAGAGAAAAACAAACCTCTTGTTTGCAGAAAACAAGTTGCTATCACCATTACTCCCAAATCCCTCTCCTCTAGACCTTTTGCCTCCCTTTGTCACCACCTGCAAACCGTTAAATCCCAAAAACCCACCAATCAATTCAAAATAAGAAACAGAAAATCGCATTGAAATGCACTAATTTTAACTTCTGTCCATTCTAGAACAAGCCAAATTTGCAGAAACAATCATAAAGAAAGAAAAACAAAAAAACAAACACACACAAAACCAGTAATAGAATATCATCGAATTCCAAGGGGTCACAGTCAACTACACATTACAGGTTGAATCAATTAAAGGAAAAACCAAAAAAGCATAACAGCATAATTAACAAAAAAAAAATCTTAAATTCCATCTCTCTATAATTCCAACTTTCTGGAATTCCTCAGAAACCAAACAAACCCAACAACAATAATTGAAAATATATATAATATATAAAAATACATAAAAGTAGACATATATCCAAACACATGCATCATATGTTCATGTATCAAGATAGAAAAGTGGAGAGACAGGGTACCTGGCCGGAGCGGCCAAGGGTGATAGTGACCTCTGGGCTAGACATTCTTCTTATAAGGGAGATGAAAAAGTAAGAAATTGCAGGTGGAATTGGAAAATTATCAAGGCAAAGCAGAATTGAACGATTTGTATAATTATAAAGCAAAGTTGCAATTGTCAAAAGAGCAGAACAGATGAAGGAAACGCAGATTGGTAAGAAAGGAACTATACGATACAAAAACAGTTGGGCAGTGAGTCGTTTTACTTGGCGTTTCTTCCTTTGGGTCCGGTCAACTTGTGGTCAATTTTTGGGCTTTGCTCACGGATTCTGCATTTTATTAAAAAGCCCATTTTCACTCAACTAAAAAAAAAAAAAAATAGAAATCCATAATTCAACTTCAAATGTGTTTAAATTTTTGTTTATATATATATATATATATTCCGATGGGATAGATAAATCATCATCTCTAAATTGGAAAGTGTTCAATTTAAAACATCTTGACCTCTCAATTTTTTATTTTTCACATTTTGTATAGAACAATAAGCAATCCGTTATTTTTCACATTTTGTATATAATAATAGGAGATCGGTTGGAGGATATCCGATTGTGACTTCAATTATTGTTTATTTTTATTAACTAATCATTAGTGACAGACTTATTAATATTATTTTATTTTCATCTTTTGATTTTCATTTTTTTAAACTGCTACGAGCACATGACCCGGTGTGATGTGTAGATTAATTATTATGAATTATATATTTATAAATATAATTTTAAAATTCTGTCATAATATAATAAAATTTGACATTTTATAATAAAGTTTACGCATGATACTTTATAATTATAGATTTTGTATATAATAATTTAATTTGTAGACAATATTATGAATACTATATTGACATTATCGTATACATGTAATTATATAATAAACCATAAACCATAATAGTATCTCTACAGTTCGTTAATGTTATTTCTAGTAGAGTTTTGTCAAAATATTTTTTATTGCATAAATAACAAATACATTTTTCAAGTTGAAAATCCATATAGGTTAATTTTTGTGTTAGTTGACATAACTTTATTATAAATTTTTGAACAATATAATTTTATTCGCAACCTATAATAATTTTATAATATTTTTAAAAATAACAATAATAATTAATAAAATTATTGATGAAATTAAGTAAGTTACTCATTATAATTTTAAAACCCATTATTTTGAGTAAAAATTAATATTTTAAATTTTAATTTCGCACCTATATAAATTTATAATATTTTAAAATAACCAATAATTAATTAAAATAATTATGGGATGAAATTAAGCAGGTAGCAGTAAGTTACTCATTTATCAATTTAAAACCCATATTGAGTAAAAATTAATATTTTATTCTATTTATAAAGTTCTTTTTATGTGAATACTATACAAGAGTAAAGTCTTAACGTGGAGAAATCTATAGACTATATAAGTTTTTACATGATGAGAATACAAAGCAATTCTGGATAAATGGAAATTAAAATTCAATTTATCATAGTGAATATATACAAAGTAAAAGTCTTTTAACGTGAATCTATTAGATATATAATATTTTTCATATGAAAATAAGCAATTTGTATAAATGAAATTAAAATTAATTTATTAATTTTTTTATCTTCAAAATTTTAATTTGCGTCAATTTAGACAAAAAAAAATCATAAAAATAAAAATTCATATGCATATTATTATTCTTGGGTTTGAATAAGATATCAAAATTATTGCATTATTGATTGGACTAATAAAAGAATAAATAAATATTATTTTAAAAATAGTATTAGTAGAGCTTTATATATGTTTATAATATTAATCTTTAATTTGCTTGAAAAAAATTATTATCAACACTTAATAATTAATATTTGATGGATAATTGTTTATTATAAATGCACATATAGAGAACGCTTGATGTTAACATTTATAAGTTTGTGTGTGAATTACCAAAATTTTTAAATTTTAATGATTTTCACGTTATGAGAGAAAATATGAAGAAATATGGAAATAAATCAAATTAACAAAAAACTTAACCATTAATAACTTTTTACATATAAATCAATGGTACATCAATTTTATCTATTACAAAATTAACTATTTAGATTATTTATAATTATGAATTAAAAAAAAATGCAATGCAAAACTCATATTGAATTTTACTTATAGAAATTAAAAAAAAAATAACTTAAGAAATTTTAAATGAATAATTATTAAAGTTATGGCAAGAATGTCATTAAAGAATAAAAAAAGGGTTAAGTGAAAAAATAATATTGGACAGGAATATAATTAAATGATTATAAAAGGATTAAGTGGGTAAAATACTCAAGAATTTAATTAAAAAAAATAAAAGGACTAAAAAAACATTATAGGATGAAAATGTAATTAAGAAAATTCTAAAGGGCTAAGTGGGAAATCACTGTTATGGTACAGTGTTTTCCAACACCTGATATATATATAATGTAAATATTATATTTGTATATAACTTATATTTAATAAAATACAAAATGTATAAAAATTTTTCAAATTCAAAAAAATAAAAAAAGCAGTTCTACTTCTATAGCAAATTAGAATATGTTTGAATTCAAAACTTTTAAAATGATACAGTTAAGCAATAAATTAAAATTTATTTATTATAGGAGTAAGATTTTTGTAAAGTACTGTCACGACCCATTTCCGTGGGCCGGACCGGCACTAGGGCCCAGGTAAGCTTAAGGCCCCCGAGGCCCGTAGTAAGCCTAAATTATTCAATCTGTCAATCTGTCTACATGATTCTCCTAATTCAACAAACAGTAAGCCCATATGACTTAGATATAAGTTTTTATAAAAACTTTCAAACATCTGGCCCAATATCAAAAATAAAGCACATAAAAAGTTTTAACCTAGGGCCTATTTCACAATAACTTCATAATTACAATAGGGCTACTAGGTTTAACCTACCAGTTAATTTACACAATTAATTAATTTTATTAAGCGTTAGTGCTAAACCCAATAAGGCCCAAAATTTTAAATACAACAGCCCATATAACTGCGTGAGGGTCCAAAAAAAAAAATTTGATAAAGAATAATTCTTTATACATTCAAAAATTAAAATATCAAGAATTATTAAAGTTTACATTATTAACTCTTGGCGTGAGAAGATTGCAAGCTCAGGTCGGATCAACTGCTTTCCTAGATACCCGGGGACGTTTTGGATGAGAAGCGGGGGTGATTTTTGCAACTCAGTGAATAATAATTAAATAATACACACCACATCACAGTCAAGCAAAAATGCACGCCTGACTTACTGAGCCACATGAACACCCACAACATGTCAACCCATATGACATTTACATCAGCACCCCACCAAACAATATCACCCTTCAAATAATCACATTCAGCGTGGAAATTAGTCGGGAGTGCTCCACAGTTGGCGTCATATAATCATATCACGTGGAAATTGGTCAGTGGCGTCACCGAATCCCTCGATGAGCCGTCCTCTCAAACAGCCCATCCTCTCAAACATGTGCACCCGGAGAGCCAATCCCCCATATCTGGCCGACTGGTCTAATCCTCACTTGACCAGTCCTCTCAATATTTTATTTTACATTCTCTCTTTTCTTTTCCATATCAGCAACATCATTTCATCAGTTCATCAGGTGCACACGGGGGCGCCGATCTCCCATTTTTCCGGCCGACGGTCCAATTTCATCAGTTCATCAGGATCCATATTTATCGACCGTCCTCACAACCCAGGGTGACCCACTCATACCCAACTTCCACACAAACACAGAGCACAGTATTGATACACAAACAGCAAATAACTTCAAACCAATTCATTCTATCATAATACACCAATTCATCCAAATGCACCAAATTATGCATAAGTTATTAATTATAGTGATCATAACATAATATTTTTGATGAAAATACCAATATGTAAATATATAAAAATGTAATGTTATGCAAATGCCAGTGTTGACATGCATTATTTTTATTACTCACAGTAGATGTTCGAGAGCGAAGTTCTAGCTTTGATTCTGTCCTGGAGGAGGCACTAAGATGGGACCCTTGGGCGATCTAAGAATTTAAGAATGACAACAAAAACAAAAAGTAACTACATCAATAAAGCATTTCTTTACCACTCTTAGAATTTTATTTATTTCTTTTCTTGGAAAATCTATTTTATTTTCTTATATTTCTACTTCTCTTATAAATTTTAATTAAATTTCTTATAATGGAATTTTATTTGCTACCGAAATTCATTTTATTCTCATACCGAAATTCGACCGGCAGCATCTCCCCCCTTAAAAATTGGATTTTCCACCTGTTAACAAATATCAACAATTTATCTAATTAACTCCAAATCACCACAGCCCATCCATCTGGGCCAATCAATCAATCAATTTCCCAATTTTCTCATCCCTCCATTCGCGAAAAAATCCATATTCCAACATTACCTTTAATCTCAATTCTTCATTTCATTCCTATTCATTTTGACTATTATCATCAAAAATTCCTCGCAATAAAATTAATCAAAGATTTTTAAGTGGAATCAACATTTATATTAATAAATCAATTACTGAAAATTAAAAATTACTTAATTTACTACTCACAATTACTTAATTAAATTTAACTAGAATTAATAACTACAATAATAAAAATTAATTCTTTAAGTAACAATTGTAGGCATTAATTATTTACCCCAAATTATAATCTTTTGTCGAAATTTTCGCAGATCGATTATTCACGCGACCCCAAATATAATTTTTTTGTCAAATTTCGCTAGATCGGGGATTTTCACGCGTGCCGGATCGGAGAGCAGTGGCTGTTGGTGGTCGGAGGCACGCTGGAGCGGCGGCAGAGGCACGATCTGTTGTGGCGGAGCAGTGGCGGAGCAGCAGGGCACGGTGGTGGCGCGACAAGGCGGAGACTGTGCTGCTGCCGTGCGCTGCGTAATCTGGCAGAGGGCGGAGCTACTGGCAGTGGCGCGTGGAGGAGCAGTGAGGCGGTGCGACTGGCGGCGTGGAGTGGCGGCGAGGTGGCCCGCGAGGGCTAGGTGGCACGCGACAGATCTGCTGTCTCTCGCCAGTCACACGCAGACAGACGCAGGGAAGAAGGAAGGAGAAGAAAGAAAGAAAGAAAGAAAGAAAGAAAGAAAGCAGAAGAAGAAGAAGAAGAAGAAGAAGGGAGGAGGCGGCGCGGTGGCTGTGTCGGTGGAGTGGAGGTGAGGCGCTGGTGAGGGTGAGGAGTAGAGGTGCAGCGCTGGAGATAAAAAAAAAGGGAATTTTCTAGATGGTTTGGGTCGAACCGGAAAAAAAAAAAAAATTGGAATTTTCTAGATGGTTTGGGTCGAACCGTTCAATTCGGTTCGATTCGACCCAAATCTTTGGTTTTCATTTGGTTTTCGGCCTTTTCAGTCGGTTTTCGGTTCGGTTTCTCACAGTATTCGCATTAAAATATTGAAATAATTTTCCAGGCTGTCGGTTTATTAAATTTAATTGGAAAATCTTTGAAAATAAAAAATTCGGGTTGTTTCAGAAATATTCATATTTTAATTCTTCAAAAGTATAAATTTTTAATATCTTTTTCATTTTTATTAAATTTTTAGTTTTAGATATTTCTTTTAGTAAACTTTTTTCAATATCATCTTTACTAAGTAAACAGAATGACTTAATAGAAAAAATGAAGTATAAATTAATAAAATGTAAAATAATTTAAGTGTTAGTTTAAATATAATTTAAAGGCCGAGTAAAAATATAACCCTATTTTTTTAAAATGATTTCTTTAGTATTAGCAAACTCGAATAATTATTTCAAACGGAACAACAATTTTGGTATCATTTTGAGAATTTATAACGAAATAACTGAAATTTAAAGGCAATTCTGTTTTATCTATCTATCTAAATAAATATTTCAAGCGAAACAGTAATGTTGATACGTTAATACATTTGAGTATGAAAATGTTGATGTAATATTTTATATTTTTTTATTATAATTAATCTTTCTTTTTTGCTTTAATAAATATCAAGGATTTTTTTTATTAAATAATGGAGTTACAAACTCTAATCGTGTAATTTTTGTATTTTTACAGCCCATGATGTAATTTTATTCATACTGATGGCTGCATATTACTAATTTTGTCGTCGTAGATGTTCGATTTGGATTAGAGAGGAAAAGCTTTTAGAGGGAAAATTACTAAGCTGTACATGTTGCATCCCGTTTGAATGATGCACTTGCAATAGCAGAATCAACCCTTTATTCTTATTATAAGATGATTCGAGTAGCAACCCTTTCAAGCAATAGCAGAATCAAATTGCTCCATTTTTACTCCCCTTATTTCCAATTCCCTCAACGTCCTTGGTTATTTTCTGGGTTACCAAACAGAGAATGATTTATTGATAATTAAAGATTGATCGACAAAGATCAATTTTCCAAAACAACCAAGAACTTGGTTCCATTTCCCTTCAACTATGCAGACCTTGAAAGCTGGAGAATTGTCTTTACCCAATCATGGAAGCAAAAAAAATAGCAGTTTTTTACTAGTGAGAAATCAGATTTGTTTTCTGATTAGAATATAGCACATAATATACATGCATACGAGTGAAGTGACTTTTTTGGCCAAAAACACAGAGACAGCTCATCGAATAAATAAAATACAATACACAAGACATCACATATTTGCTGTTGTTTCCTTGATCTCTTCCAAGGTGATTTTCTGCACAGAAAGAAAATCACAGTGATCGTAACACACTTAAACATGCTATATAAAAATGTAAGCACTGAGAGTGGCGGAGCTAGAAATATTTTCTGGTGCGATCATTTTATTAAATTTGATTTTTAGTGGGTCAATTAGATTAAAAACTCTAAATTTTCACTTAATGTGTGTGTATATATATATGTATTTTATCAATTTAATCATATTTTATAATTTTTTTTTTTAAAATTGAGTGGGATCAATTGACCCCACTTCACATAGTGTGATGTGGCGCCGCCCTGACCGAGGCAATAACAACTGTAGTTGTTCCTGTTATTTAATTGGTGGATGCAAAAACTTCATTTATTTTAAGATTGGCACACCCACATTCTGAATTTGTCAATTTTGAGTTTCATTTACCAAGCCTCACAAATAAAGAATTCGAAGTAACATTGTTTTCTTTGTAAGTTCCAACTAACATTGCCTATATTTGGTATGATCCCATTGAATTACGAACGAGGCAATTCACTTCTAGACAAGATTGTAAGGCATCGTGTGATGATTATAATGCATTTTGAGAACAGAAATAAGGAATTTAGTATTACCTGTTCGTTGCCAGCAAAATCATTATCTGGTGTAAGAAATAGCATGCAATGGCACTCCTTCCTGCCAAGACAATCTTACAGTTAAACAAGGGACTGAATTTATAACAACAAAATTCTTGGACTGGAAGATAGAAACATAGGAAAGAAACAAGAAGTGAAGATTGAGTAAGACACCACACATCTCATTCTAGATTCAGGACAGCAGAGCCAACTTTTCAGTTAAAGCATGTAGTCTCCAAATAACTAAATTCCATCCTCAATAACAGACGACAGAAAATGTTACTTGTCCTTAATATATAGCAGAAACATAATATAAATGAGTAAAATAGAACTTCTACTTTAGCATGAAATACATTGAAGTTATGTGTAGGCATATGTGAAGAGTCATGGTTAAGCAATGGATTTCTTGATTACATTTTGTATGACAGATACGATTGTCAAAATTAATTCACCTATTTCTTGAGATGTTTTTCTTTCTTTTTTTTTTTTTTTTGAAAAGCTTTTGGTGAAAGTAAATTATAGATATAAGAAAAATGGCTACATCATCTATGATAAAATATCAAATATCTAATCTAACCTCAACCATTGGCAGCATTTATCATTGTTGCCATCCATAGCAAATCAGCATTTAGCAAATGATGGCAAAGACCACTGCTTAACATCAAATAGTTGTTAACTATTTGATTTCTTTCACTAATGAGGTTTCCTTCATTTCAGGTGGGTACAGAACCAGCAAGTCCTAGAGATAAAAAATGACGATGATAAAATACAATCTTGTTCCTTCACTGTTTCTTAGAACAAAAGTAAAAAGGATTGATGCATTCTTTAAATATCCTTGACCAGACCTGGGTTTATATCAACATACCTTCTCCAGGTTGTTTCATAATAATATAATTATCCTGTTGCACTCCTTGATGTATCCAAAAATAAATAGCTTATGAATAGTTGTTGCTCAACATGTTACTTCTCGCCAACATAACCTTCAATCATGTCACTACTTACTATTGGATTAACATTAACGATATAGATTCCAAATGGTAATCCAAGCAAATCTTCATAATGTCATTCCAGTAAGTGCTACTCCCAACTCCATACGATGGACATGCTACAAATTTAAATTCTAGCCATTCGTTCATTGGCTAAAAGATAATCTAGCAATGCATGACAAAAAATGGCAAGCCTATATCAATCAAAATTTCCACTGACAACCATTCAATAAATATGATAGTAGAATTCCATTTCCTATTAATCCAGTCTAATGTAACAGTTTGTATTTATCTGTTCAACCCCCTCCTAAGGGGCAGCAAACCAAATTCACTAAAATGTTACATTTTTTTTTTTTTTTTTTTTTTTTAGCAATAGGAGATAGACTGTACCTCCCGCGAAACTTGATCTTTTTTCTTACCAATTTGGAGAAGGCAAACTGCGCTAGTATTTGCTCAATTTGTCGGCCATTTTGCTTATTTTGTATTATAAAGTGTATTTCGAGTTTTTGGAAAAAATGACAAAAAAAAGAGCAATTCAATGAATAATATTTTCTAAGGATTACTGAGCAACACTCTTCCCACGAAACATTACTTTGGAGCTTTTTGGCATTCTATGATCAATTTTTTTCGTGGAGAGTAGGGTTACAATGATGTCTTAACCAAGATGCCTCATTTCGAGAAGAAAATAATAGAGCGTATATTTTATTCAGAAAAAATGCGCGCCGGAGGCGGTTAGCTACTGCCGTTGGAGGCGGCTGCACCCCGCCGGTGGAGCGGCCCGCCTACGCCATCGGAGGCGGGTGCCCCCGCCGACCTCGAGGTAAGGCGGGCCCGCCGGCTGCCTCCCACCGGTGGAGGCCGGCCGCACCCGCTTCGGAGGCGCTTGCATGCCCACTTTTGGTGGCTCCGGCTGCTGCCCATCCCTGCTTTTATTTGTTTTTTCTTAGGATTCTTCTGTGGTTTTTCGTAGCTTTTGTTCTGGTTAAAGTACAGAAAATAATTTCTGGAAGAAAAGATGATAAAAGAGTTTTTTTCACAAAAATAATTTTCGAAAAAATTTGAAAATTGAAATTTGAAAAAATAAAAAAATCCCGTTTTGTTACAAGTCAGGAAGGAGGTATAATCATGCATACATATAAATATTTCAAGTGACTTACCAAGTGCAGGTACAGTCAAAGCAAGTACAGGAACATACAGGAAGAAAAAAAAAACAGCGAAAAAAGGAATCTGCAAACAACTAGCGATACAGCAACTGGGCATTGGTTTCTTTCTTTGTCCTCCTCACAGTCTCCTCGCAAACGATCTCATTAAACAATTGCCATAGGCCTACTTCTGAGGTTGCCAGGCCGTTATATGAAATGCACACAGATCCCTACTCCATTGCACCAAAGTTATATCAACACGGAACGATCATCATCTGGACTAACCAAGCCGTTCGGAGGCGAAACCTGTTAAAATCAATGCATGCTGAAGGACGAACAGCAAGTTTTGCTAAATAATTAAATCTTTACGAAGCCGTTTTGTGAAAGATTTTATCAGCGCTATTGACTTATGCATATTATAATATATAGTTGAGTCTGAGACATATGGTGATGGATTCCAACGAATATCCAACGATTTAGACCAGAGGGAATAACACCTCCACGGAGAAAGGACGTAATATGGGTTAAGTCTTCCCGGAGTATGATAAATTAGCCGATTGGTTTGTTACCGGAAATGTAAGGTTTGGGCCCCACAAGCGTGCAAGTGAAGAAGGGCTCAGATTATCGCAATCTTTTGTGATCTGACGCGAGCGTGGGAGCTCCTGTGATAACCTTGATCGGAAAGCTTGAGCTGAGCGACTCGCCACCCGAGATAGGATGGACCACTCCAACTCGGTTCCTTGACGCAAGAAGAAGGAACATCCGAATCGCTTAGTGACACCGTCTCTTACCTAGGAGCACCGAGTTTGAGACGACAAACCAGGGTGAAGGCCCGAAAGACTGAATTAGATTGTTTTCAAGGCGGCGGGAATGGTAGCCTCGATACTACTAACATTGCATAATCACGAGCACGAGGATCCAAATGGGCTGAGCAATATTACAAAATAGACCCTGGCTAGAGGACTACATCTGTGAATAAAGAATTCTCCACGCCCCGGGATTGAGGGACGAATATCACACACTGAGTGGGAAAAAGCAACACTCAGCAATATGGAAGCTAGTTCAGGGAGGTTGAGACGTTCAATAAGCTGCACTTCGGCCCGCTCAACATGATCCCAATCGAGGGCAGAGGGTGCGGATTTCAAGGATTCTATATAAGGAACTATGCCACTGGATGACTAGATCGTGAAGGTTCTACACGTCAGTTCCCTACGACCCATTAGAATATTCAGGTCGTCTAAGTAATCGAGGAAAGTAGCGCCAAATCAGAGTACTAACGATGGTCTTCCGCGCGCAGAGACAAGGCATTATATAAACAGGTATCTCAAATGGTACATTCTGAGAGGGATCCCGGCCACTGTATAACCACAAATACAAAAAGTAGAGACGGAACCAGAAACGAGATGTCGATGTCATCGCAAAACCCCTCCAGTCTCTCTTAACAACCTATGATATAGAGCAAGCCAGAATGTGAGTTAAATAATACACTTCTTAATAAATATTTAAAATTAAGATGAAAGTTGCTTAAAGAAATCTAGTAACACTCTTCCTCGGCATAGTCCCTCTTAAGTGGTTCAAAATAGAGAGTCCTAAGTTCAGATTCCGCATCAACAGATTTTGTTCTGGATGTGTAAGTGCGCAATAATTGAGTTGTTGAGATAAAGTTTGAATTAACAGGGAGTCGGTATCCACATCTTTCCGAATTGACAAAGAGCGCGACCAATGGAATTTCTTGAAGTTTCCACCAGACTCTTCAAGTAGTTTCAACACTGATATAGTAGACTTAAAGCGAGTTACGATAAGTTATAGTTACCAATCGAATGCACACAAGTTCTTATATGAAGGTGCAAAAATAATATATAAACCATAAAAATAATTAACATATATAAATAGAGAAGGAATCGAAAATGATGGGATATAAATTTTATCTAATGTATATGCGTCAATTATCATGAAAGACTACAATATATATATATTTGGTTATGTGTTCTTTAACAAATTACCTGCCCTAAAATGTTTTTGTGAGGTGATTCCTCCCAGCTAGATAAGTAAAATGAATAGATATATAACAAGTGATGCCAGACATACTAGGACTTACGCACCACTAATTCATCCATACATTAGCTGGCTCAAAAATAAATAAAGGCCACCGAGAGTCACTAGTCCCAAAATATACCTTACCTATGAATGACGTGAGGGCCACACCGATCTCACCAAAAGCTTATTTCCAAAAAAATATTGAAGGGTAATTTTTCGCTCAGCTGTGCGATCGCAAGTTAAGTGTGTCGGTATTAGCAGAAACAACGATTATGTCACAATGGTTAAGCAATCTGGCAACCTGGGGATCAGCCCGTCAGGTCTCTAACGCCTTAGTTAATTGAATTTGCTAATGAGGGCCAAGCATGATAATTCCACTACAGCGTGCTGTACTATGAGGAAGCCAACAGTCTCGACGATACTATTTGGAAGATCGTCTGCTAAATAAAAACTGGCTCTGTGATAATGATGACTATGGTGTGCCCCGATAATCCGAGTTCACCTAGAGTTCGATGATGCTCTTCGCCATTCCAGCATCAACCATATTCCTCTCCGGTACCGGGGAGGATCGTTCTGGTGCTTCCAGGTGTCATCACAAGATATACCACACAGCAATGTCGACCTAGTCGAAAAGCCGAGATGCCATAAGGGAGATCCACAGAGATCACAGGAAAAGTACTGGATGGCGGATTCTGAATGTCAAACTCTGACTTAAAGAAAAAAACAGATGGTATCAGTGTTGGTATTGGCTCTGTCACTGTTGTTTCCTCTACCATCTCTCGGGCAAAAAGGTTACAACGAACTCAAGTAAATAATGCTATTATATGGCTCTGACTCCGGAAGCGCCACAGTTTTGCAAATAGATCGGAGCTCTTCATGCTAGTTTTCACAGATTGGACGAGGGAACTATAATAATTCCCTTGCTCCCACACCACGATGCCGGGCTTGTTTGTTGGGTTTATATCAAACCATCGTATAACCTATTTCGACTGCTTGCTCACAAAAGATTTCTTGTTTCGCCGGCGGAGATGCAAGTTATAACTCACCCACATACTCAATCATATAAACATTTATACTGCGTGTTCCTGCACTGGCAAATGTCACAAATGTTCAAATAATCAGCTAAAATCAATTGATATCTAACATTACTAAGGATTAAAGCAATACTTTTCTTAGATTCTGACCACTAAGCAAATGCATTGCCCTAAAGTGTAAACAGTAAATGCAGAATAATGATATAATTAAGAGGAGAAAGAGCTCATAAAACTATATAACCTGTGGTCATTAACTTCTCGATACCCAGTCAACGGAAGCACATAAATTCCTTGTGGTTCCTATACTGCCGTTCGCCATGTCTGTTAAGAATCCGAGCTTTGATCTACTTAGGGAACATATTATATCCCACAAAATGAGTTCCAGAACACCACTCCTGTGTTACTTGCTGTAAAGGACTCTCGACACCCAAGACAAATGGTGCAGATTTGAGGGAGAATCCCAAATAGAATGAGGAAGTTCCGAAGAAATACTTGATTTGAGCAGAATAAAATGTCCATTTGTGAGTTTGCACCACACCGTATAGATAATGTAATGTAAAAAGAGAGTAGCATCTAACTCCGTCGAGCGAATCGATAAACTACAACAACACACACGTGAGAAGGCATACCTCGTCTGAACTAGCACAAAGTTTTGCCTTCGAGGGAATGGCCTCAGAAAACACACAAATAGTACACCCATATATCTCAATGATAGAGTATCCTTATTATGCCATTTTACTACTCTTCTGGTCTCCAAAATTTGGAGACTTAAAAATAGCAGGAAGTTAATCACTGAGGGTTTAACCTTATATGTTTTCTTACTTGAACAAAAATAAAATATGCAAATGGAGTATAACAGCGGAGACTCTAAAACACCAGTGGCGCAAATCTGGTCAAAAAGATATCTCAGGCAAAAGGTCGCCACCTCAAGTAATATCCATAAGAAAAGAATGTCGCGCACCATTTATTACCTATCACAAAAAATTTCTTTTGTAATAGACAAGAACCATCGAATCGAATGAGCTTTGATTTTATTCCCTTATAAATAAAAATATTGAGAATAGTATAAAAAATTGAGTGTGTTCAAAATTTTTCCATTAAAAGCTCTTGTTCCTCGATATTACACCTCAATAAGCACAGAGGTTCTCTCTTAACATTTGGTAAAAGAGTTAATTTTGGTATTTGGCCTACCCTTAATTAGGGGAAAAATTTACCCGGAAGTTTAGTCAATGCCTTTAATTGTTGGAGTATATTCGCACTTAATGCTCTCAACTTCCCTTCTTACAAGCTATACAGGATAGGAGGGCTTACGGGCTATAATAAATCACAAATGACAGAATTCAATGTCTTTAAGGAAACACACATTTTTTTTGTGACAATCCTCAATTTTTTTAACCATGTCCTTTCTCTATAATTTTTTTTCTCAGGAATTGATTTTGCTATTCCAAAATTAGCAAATAAGCACAACTCTATTAATCTATAAAAATTGAAGATTTCGTTTAAAAAATTGTCCATAATTCGGATGCGCAAACATTTATAATATATTTATGAAATACTAATAGCGAATATTCAAATTCATAATATAGTTTATTTTGCAAACATAATAGAAGCATATTGCTATAAAGCTATTATTAAGAGAAAAAATAGCCAATTTCAAATGACAGAGACAACGGTTAGGATGAATCAGACGAATTGAAAGGCGAAAAACCACTTTCTCCTACACAAATTTACTCAATTCCTCTACCCCTATATTCCCTCCTAAACCTTCTCCTTTCAATACCCATTACCCTTACTATCCAATAAACTATGTAAAGAGTGAATACTCAAATATGAATTTTGAGAGAGCGGTCAGAAATTAATGCCAGGTTGTCCTCCCGAAGCACACAAGCTCAGGTAAATGCGCCGCCCTTAACAAAAAAAGTGGCGGCGAGCAGCACAACGAGCAGACGACAAGTGTGCTTTCAAGCAAGTCGCTCTCTTTGTAAAAATTAATCCAGTGCCATTTTTCGGGAGGCTTGCGAAAAAGAGCCTGACATCCCTTTTTCTGTCGGACTACACACACAAACCCTCCCTCTCCTCAAAATGGGCCCTCTCTCTCCCCCCTTCCTAGATCACCATCGTGCACCGGAGTTGCCCATTCAAAAAAGATTCACCCGGAAGCCCCTGCCTCCCCAAAATCCTATGATATATAAATACTTTGAAATGTTCCGAGATATAAATTACCGTGATCACGGGAGTAAACATTTAGTTTTTTTTTTTTTTTTTTTTTTTGGTTTTGTTTCAACACCTTTATAATTTCTTATCAAGCTCCCAACATTTACTATGGATAATATTTAATACTGCTTTGAATGCAAAACACCTTTCCATGACTCCATTTGCCATTCCCTTTGTCTCTCAATTGAAATGATTAAGAATTAAAAATAGAAAAATGGAAAAGACTTCATATTTTAAATGCCTCATTGAATGCATCCCTGTACCCAAACTTTTCTTTCAAATGACCTTTTTGCCCTTCAAACTCATTCAATCACCTCTCCCACTTATCTGATACTGGTAAATAGTATGTGGCAAATGCCATACGTCAAGGAATCCATTTATTATCCCATTGCATCCAGTATCTCTTTGACCATCCTCACACATTTCTATGTTGTTAAAACTATGAAGCTAACCTTAAGATGGCATCCTTGCAATGAACCTGAAAGATGCTTTCCGTCAGTCAATATATACAATCATGGAGGCTTCCAATACAATCTAGTAGGTTCATATCTTCAGAAAGTCAAATCTCGAGTAAGATTCCAACTTAATTACTTCACCTAAACAGTTATGGATCTACAGCTGGATGGTTAAAGCACTCAACTGATAACTGGCAAACTTGAAGGTTCAATTCGTGTTGGATACAAACCAATGGAACACTCCAATAAGTCTTTTAGAATTGGAACTTGTTAAGCAGTCAATTGTTGCAAATATAAAGAACGAACATCAAAATTTCATAACAGTCAGGATTTCAAACTTCACATCTAAGCATTCATGACGAAAGCTTGTTGGAGAGGTAAAGTAGACATCTACGCACTATGGATAGGCAAAAGTCTTTTAGAGTTTCCAACCAGCTCCACAAGGCAGATTGCAATATTCCAATAATGTATTCAAAAGGAAAAAAGGCCAATAGTCCTATGATACCAACGGTTAACACTTAACACTAAAATGAGGCCCAGATACAGCAATTTCTAAACTCTCCAAGTAGAAGCAGACATAATCTAGACAAAAAAAGTTCATTAGAGAACTCCAGTATGTCATCCGAATAAATAATTAAATATTTGCAACTATACACCCAATAATAATTTACAAAGAAAAAGAGATACATACCTTTCTCTCATGGGGACACATGGACAATTCCAAAAGCCCTGCCCTGCCTCAGCTGCTTTATCATCGTAATGCCTGAACATATGCCAAGGATTCACAATTGCAGTTGTGGTAGAGGGTTATTTTAGGATCTTAGAAGTATTCCAGTAGTTCAAATTAAAATTTTTGATTAATCTGGGAAAAATACAATCATATCGTACATATTTACCTACAAGGGCAAAGAGGTGCACCCAACGAATCTTTATGTTCTGCCAATCCCTGTTCAAATTCCAAAATGTGTTGTTTGCGATCGTAGAATAAACAGATACAGTATGCTCTATAGGGAAAGCAAAACAAAGAAAAACAATCTAAGCAAGTGCAACTCAATCATACACATTAACCCACTGCTGCAAATGCAAAAGATTCAAAAGCCACGAAAATCAGTGAATACTTAATGACAACTAAACTCACAATAGTAACAATTAACAAACATTTGTCCCAGTTGTGTGCTTGAACTAGAAACTCACTACAGATACTTCAATTTCTCTTTTCTTCCAAATTTATTTGATAGAAACTAATTCACATTGTTCTCAATTACAAGAGAAATGAAATCACAAGTGAAATTATGATTCGAATAGAGGAAAAGTAATTCAATTAAATCAAATGAGCCAAAAACAATAACAAAGAAAAAGAAAATTACCTTAATGACAACAGAAGTGACTCCTTTATCAACACAAAAATAAGTTCCGGATTTACGAGCATACTGTTCCGAGAACTTCCTCATTATCTCCACCGATTTCTCCGATGGTTCCACTGAAACATTACCAAAAAGGAATTGTTTTGTAAATAATAAAAAGGCAAGACAAAAACCTAGAATTAGAGCAGTTATACCAGTAATTTCAATTAAGAAAATTAAGAAACTAAAAATTGGGGACAAATTAGAAAAAAGTAAGTTCATATAACCTTTAGCTCGAATCACGGTGGCCGGAATACGGCGGAGACGGGGGGTTTTAGGTGGAAGTAAGAAGTAGGAGATAGCGCCGAAGGTACAAGAACTGGCTTGGAGAGTCATAACTGCAACAAAAGCAATATCTGCTTGCTGTTAGAAACTACTGTTACCTGAATAGTCAATACTGGATACCGTTTATTTTTAATTTTTCGATCGAGTCTTAGGATTTTTTATTAAAAAAAATGTTTTCTGGCTTGGGATGATTTTGATACTTGAGGCCGTACCCGCCACTCGTTCCAAATATCGGCCAAGAACTTACAGAAACCAGACCGATATTTTCATGAATTGGGTCTTCTTGGGCCTGGTTTTTGTTTTGTACAGATCCAAATAGTTAGCCCATAATAATTCATATGCATTTTTATTTATTTCACCTTTTTTTCCAAAAAAAAAAAAAAACATTTTAGGGTATTTTTTATTAGCTTATCATGGTTGTGTTAAATGTTCTCTTAAAAAAAAAAAAAAATTATTCGATTTATACTGATTTAATTTGGTTTAAACTGAACTAACTGAATATCCACAGCTACTTAGGCATTAACCGAGTCTACCTAGAAAAACAGTAGAGAGACAAGGAATTGTAGATATCAACCTACCTATCCTCTGGACCTAACCACTAACTTGATGATTTGCTTTAAATCATGTCAATGGCTGATCATCTCTATTATCAGCCATTCAATATTTCTTTAAGGTGAATTTCAGTTATGGGTGCTTAATTTACTAATGTTGGTTGGATTAAATCAATGTGTTTGAACTGCTTTCTATGACTATTAGCTCTGATGCATATAATTTTATTATTATCTAAAAATATTTGTATTCATTATAATTAATATAAATAAATTAAGTGGATAGCAGGTAACAGATGAGCCTGTAATGCCAATATGCAGAAGGATTCTGCACGAAGAGCCTGTAACAGTAGAGAATATTACGACATAATCTTTATATGGGATGAAACAGAAAAAGAAAAAGAAATGACTTTAGGACAAACTAAGGTGTCGGTACAAATGGTAACATCTAGTAATTTAGACTGGACTTCAGAACTTAGCTAGTTGGTCCTAATAAATTTTTGTCTTTGAAATCATAATGATATTCAATAATGTCAGTGGCAGCTGAGATTTTAGTTGATTGTAGTCATTTACGGTATCAAAAATTATAGTCACATTTCATGCAACTTCTTCTGTTATTTGACGTTGATCAAGATTTCAACATCTACTAGATTAAAAGAAATATTTTCAATTAACTTAGTAGCACTTAAACGACTTCAAGATTGAAAAATCTGCATGTATAATTTCTCTAAATAACAAGAAAAATCATATATACTTCGCATCTAAACCATAAAAAGGGATGAAATTTAAGGGAGAAGCTCATATATTATGATGCATAAGTTTTTAAGCATAAAATAATAAAACTTGATAATTGTAATTAAAATAATCAACATTTATTCAGATTTCATATGTATTTAATGCACAATCTTAACTGTCTGCACACAAACTAAAGAAAACACCATACAGTCAAAGATAAATATCAAGATTACACTGTTTCTATAATCAATTTCTTGATAAGTAAGTGAAAATCAAGAATGAAAGCATCCAAAGGCAGAAAATTATCAATAACTCTTATTATAAAATTAGATATATAAGCATATATCTAAGACTAATTATAAATTAATTCATAATTATAACAATTAAAAAATTTATATAATCTCCATTTTCCCATTAACACAAGCCCTAGTTAATTAGTACCTTTTTAATAATGAATCAAATAATAGATCTGAGAAAAACTCTACAATTAATATTCCATAATCAAAGAGAAAATATGAATTTTCTACCAAAAAACAAAGAGAAAAAATAAATTGAACATCAAAATAGATATTTAAATGTATAGAAAATAGATTTCTTCCAATTTTTTCATAGTTCAAGATCCATTGAGTAAGTTCTTGTAAACAAACAAAAACAACACTGGCTTAAAGGAAGAAAACAACACTTACAACGTTAACTTGCATCCTACAGAATAACCTCTCGTAGCAAGTCCTCGAGAAAATAAACCTAATACAGAAAAAGTACAAATGCACAAACTCTCACTCACTCAAAGAACAAAGAAAAAGAAAAATATAAGAACATATATATATATATATATAGAAATAGAAGTTGAGTGATTTGCTTGATCTGGCAAATCATCATCATCGGACCAAGATGCCTGATTCCCCAAAAGGAAAGAAAAGAAAGAGAGATCCTTTTTCTTTCTTTGTTTTTTTCTTGAAGAGAAAAAAGAACAAAGAAGTATAAAAGCTGCTAGGGCTGGCTGCAAGTATACATGGTAACTAATAGTAACGCAAAAACAAACCCAGCTGCTTATTTTTTTTGTTATTTTCTCTCAAGAAATAATTTTTTTCTTTCTTTTTCTTGTTGTTGGAAAGAATAATGATGAGGGTTTGTGGGTTATTGTGGAGTTGGTGGCGGTGTGGGTATAATTATGACTCTGGAGAAGACTAAGAGAAGGAGAAGACATGATAATTGCTGTTGAAACTAAGGCACAAAAATTCAAGCTGTTTTGTGCTATTCTATCTTTCTGACACAGAAAGATAGAAAAGAGAGAAAGAGGGAACATTCATCAAACCCTACATCTTTTCCTTCTTTTCTTTATTATAATACTAAACAAATAAATATAAATAATATATTAGGTGAAAGAGAGAGAGAGATGTAGCGACCATAGCTTAGCTAGCGCGTGCAAGGTAACCAGTTATTAATTAATATATTATTTTTTCATTTGATGTGTGAATAGTTTTTTTTTTTTTTTTCCTTCCGTTTCCAGCATTTTCACGGAAAAATGAGAAGTCGTTTCTAAGATAAAGCTAGAAATGCAGAATAGAAAAATTTTTTCTGGCTATTTCAACTTCTCCAAGTTTAATGAAATATAAATAAATGTCTTTGTCGGTAAAAGGAAAATATATTTGCCTTTGATTTCTCTTTTTGTGCCTATCTTTCTCCTGTATGGTGGAATAGTTTGAGTTCCTTGGATTTTCTTTAAATTTGGAAACAAAATGGAGTTTGAAATTTAAAATACAAATTTTCAATACGTTTCAGGAAGTCTCTGTTTGACATTCAGAAATGTTAATTATCATAATACGAAAATAAAATTTCTACATCTCAAAAAAGAAAAAAAAAAAAAAGGCAAATTAGCGATTAAGACAATACCATGTCAGCACTGTAAATTTGAATGACAATGTAATAAAACATGGATTAAAATAAAGAAAACTTAATGATTTTACTTTCTTCATTTCTATTTTTAGTTTTAATTCATATATCTTCCATTTGATAAATGTTGTATAAACGTTTCACAATATATAGATATACTTACTCCAAATTGGCAAGGGAAAAAAAACTATATTTAGCTCTAGTGGGGGCGAGACATTCAAATAGGAAGGAAAAAACATAGCCATTACTGACTAGTAATCGTCTTTTTGTAATATGGTGGAAATTTGCTAAAGAAATATATATTGGTTTGGATACTATCAAGAGTATTACGATGTAAATCCGGCCGAGACCGGTATACAGCTAGACCATAGTCTAAGAATTACACGTCTTTTTTTTTTTTTTTTTTTATAACCAGAAGATTTAATCTCACTCGGGTCATAAAGTGTGTTTTTCAGGAATCAAACTTGTGTATTTATCTTTACGGAAATTGAGGTCGCTTACCACCTCAATCAATATTTTGTTGGTACCTTATAGTAACTATTTGATAATATGAAAGTAATTTTCACTGAGAGTTAATACATGGTGACTTCATTTGTTCCTAACCTAAAATCCAAATTAACATTATTAATTACATAGACATGAATGATTAATTGATTTATTGGCAATAATTAATTTGTAATGCCAAAAAAAAAAAAAAAAAAAAAAAAAATCCCTTGCTTGGAAAACATTCATACATTGGGGCCCACCATGAAAAAGTGAAGCCACTCGTGCGATGTGACTAAGAAGAAAGCAAATGAACAGTTGAAAGATGTGAGGTGAGTTCAAAGCACCTTGTTTATATTTTAGGGATTAATACCAGGAGCCAGAAATAAATCCACTAAGTTTACTTCCAATATATTAATGACCGGTAATATACTTAGAATTTAATTGATCCCAATGGTTAAAACAAAAAGGCGATGGTCAAAATACCAAGAACCCGAAGGATGGATCCCAAAAGACGAAGAACAAAATAACTTTAGTGAACTCATTCCAATGAGCTCCGTAAAAAGATACGTCTCCAGGGACTCCTTATGAAAAAGCAATGCTTTGCTAGGTGGGTGTAATTAACATATCGTGATAGTAAATTTTAGGAACCCTGGAATATAAGACTCTCACCATTGGAAATGTAGATTTTGTGAACTTGAAAACCGCCCTTCTAGGGGGCTATGTGAGTTATGGCTCCCACCCACCCATAAAGATTGATAAAAATTTTTGTCCCCTATTGAGTTACTTTCGTAAAATGAACGGAATCCAAAGATAATCAAAATGTTCAAAGCGAAATTAAAAGTTTCGATATGGCCTCCCTCTAATTGAAGGAGCTATTGAAGATTGCGGGATGCTTTTAAGTTTGCGCGCAGATGCTATTGGAAGATTGTAGTTTGATATGTCTTGTTGTGCAAAATTGTTCGATTTAGGTTCATTTTGCAACAAACCCAATTGGATTGATTTTGTAGGGGCAATTTTGAGATGGCCAAAAAAAAATGAGTTGATTTTTAATAGGCTTAATAGCCAAAATATAGAATTGTATTTAGAGCCAATTCGTCGAAGTTGCCACCAATTAAATTGACCATGTTGACCACTTTTTAGCCGAACTTTGTTCCTGCCCATCTAGTAATGATTATGATTTTTGTGAGAGGAACTTTTTAGCCAAACACCCGAGTGTTGTTGATTTAGGCAATTTATGCTCTCAAGAAAATTTTCAAAAACTGAACAAAAATATGCCATTTGAACCTGTGGGCGTTAAGTTTGAAATTTGTCGACCAAAATAAGAAAATATAAAGTGTAAAGGCTTTTGGCCAAAAAGAGTGATTTAAAGGTACTCTATATTTGTTGCCCAAAAAAAAAATAGTAAATTGATTTTATGATTTTAGGCCAAACGTATAATAGTGACGAGCCCAAGAGAAATTTGATATATTTTGGACCAGGCTTCAAATTAACCACAAATAAAATTGATTGTAAAGTCAATGTTGATTAAAGAAGCAAAAAAGTTGAATACCTGATTTGGCAAGGCGATTGTTCGCGCCAATAAAACTTTGTATTGCAGCTTAAAAAGTGCAATTAATTATTTGCTCAACCAAGTCACCTATTGTTTGAAATCAAGGAACCTAAATTGAAGGCCAAAATATTGATTTAAAGGGGAAAAAGATTTGTACGCACTAAAAAGTACAAAAGTTAGTATATAATCTACTTATAGGCACAGCCCCTTTATTTGCCAAACCACGTTAGATATACAATGATTAATAGCAAATAATGAAAGGCAAGTTTATATTGCAAAAGAAAAAATACATTGAAAATAAAGATGAGAGGCTATTGTATAACGCCGAAACAAATAGTGATTTAAATTGCAGAAATTAAGCTCGTGAACAAATTTGTTTCTGAAAAATTAAAGGCTCATAAGTCTAACGCTAAAGTTAGTTATTTGTATTCAAACTAGGACTGTTCTAAGTCCAATAATATGGATCGCAGAATAATATTTAGGATAAAATTTAAAAATACCCTTCGATTATTAGATTAAATCGAAAGGTCTATGTAGAAAACCTCTAAATTGTAATTTAAATAATGAGGAAACAATTATATCTGCACTAAAAAATGTATGACGTGAAAAATAGCATTTATGCAGAACCTTGAATAGATTTAGGAAGTTAGCCCCCTAGGAGAGAAAAAACATTTGCTACAAATTAAGAAGTGTTAAGCCTTAAATTAATTAATAGGAAGCTGCGAGAAGTTCATAGTTCATGTACCCAAACTGTACTTTTTAAATCGTAAAAAAACAAGGCTCAGTCTTCTTGCTTACCACCCTCAACAAAAGCGCGTTAAAAGCTCTAAAAAGTATTAAAGGAGAATCCCCTTTTTAAAAATAAATAATTTTTAAGTGTTAAAAAGTGACCAAACCACGATTATCACCACAACACGAGAAGATGTCAAAAAAAAAATTATAAATTTAATAAATCAATGAACAAAAAAGGAAAGGATATAACCGATAAAGCAATTCGCGAAGGTATGCTATAGCTGGGAAGATAGAGGAATCGCGTAACGTTTTCATACCTACTGACTGTAGAATCACGCTCAAAACGTGAAGGACAACTCTCCCCAGAGCCGCTTTATATTAGAGAAGAAAAACGATTGACCCCGGGGCGACCCGCCACTGCCCGCACAACAATGTCGACCAGGACAGGGGCAAATAGCCCGCCTTGGCTATGGAGTGGTGTGCTATATCCCCAAATTTGGACCCTGTGACTTGGGAGAGTGAACACCACCTTGGCCTTAGGGGCGGACGCTGATGACTCCGCACCTAAGCTTAGGGCCAGGGTCATATCTCTGAGAGACCCGTAATTACTACTGGGCCTGGCGGAAGGCATCCTACAATCCCTCCCATAAATGCGTGGCAATGAAGGCAATGGTGCCACTTCTCTTTTTTTCATTATTTTTTATTGTTACCGGAAAGTCTTTATCCGGCGTGAGTTCTCAAAATGCTCTTCACAAAAATTATTCCTTTCCCGAGATACTCAACAAGCCCTTCCAGCCCAGTTAAGTGATCCTCGTAATATTTTTTTTCGGAGAGCTATCTTCTTCTAATGTATTCATTATTTGCACACTATCCGAAGTGAAAATAGCAATTATTTCAAATTTTAAGATAATGGAACTCCTGGTCCTGACCGGAAATAACGGAACCTGATACCTCTTAAGCAAGTACACGTGTGAAAAAAATATTTCGGCCTCTTATGTAAGCCCACATCCCCAAAATAATGAAATGGGTATTCAAGGGGCGAACATGCAGCAACTGTCATATCAATTGGCGAGCTGCTTCGCCTTAAGGTCTAGCCAGCCAGCCACCGACAAAATAATAACCCAGCAAAGAAGAAAAGGAGAACGGAAAACAAACCGCAATTTTTAAGCCTCAAAAATAGAAGTATTCACAATGTTATTAATTTTTAGATGATGCAGTGCATTGAAAAATATTTGAAATGTATGAGGTAAACATGGTATTGATGGATAAATGTGATTTAATAGGTATAAAGTGAATTAGTCTCTTATTTGCTACTCTTTCTCCCTCTTAATTCTTTTGCTTACATGGGAAGACTATTTTCCATATAATGTATCATCGCGAGGTTCTGTAGTTATAATGTTTCTTGTAATACGAAACACACATAAAACTATATATAATAACCAAACACATGTGCTGTATAAATGGTGATATATTCGTAAAAAAACAAACATTGCCTCTGAAAACTCACTAACTTTATTCAATATCTCAATAATTCTTATGTGATCTAGCCTTATGCTTCATAACAAGTTGAGAGTGATAACGCAATCTTCTCGGTGTACAAATGTTGCCCAAGAGGCTAGTCCCTGAAAGTTGTTAAAAAAATATTGGGCACAAAATGAACGTGCCTC